TACCACTAAACAAGAAGCGGTAAAAATGTCTGTCTAATGAAAAGTGCAGAGCCATTGTTCCACTAAACAAGAAGTGGATCCATACAGGTTTCGGGACCTACCCCCAAGGATGCGATTCCCCCATCCCGATCTCTGTGGCCACTATGCGTTGTATCATTCCTTAAAATATTTCATTTTAAGAAATGATACTCTTTAAAATCTCATTTCCAAAATCATTGGAAAACTTAATAGCATTCTTATGCTATTCCTTTGAAATCATTTTCATTAAACATATTTTGTTCTAAAACATTTTCATTGACTAAAACCATTTAAAGTAAGGCTAACAAGGATATGGACAAGAATATCCTACCTTTTGAATGTCAAAACTGTGGCTATCTTCACATAGCCCTAGCTCCGCTTGCCTTCGAGACTCCAATTCCAATCGTGCCACTAACTTTCCCATCAAAATCAACAATTTAGAGTTTGATCTTTCTCACCAAACATTCTCGTTTAATTAGATGCAATTGTATCATATTAGTGTGCCATAGTTCAAAATCAATGTTCATAAACAATTCTTAATTCAAATCATGATTCTTTGACAATGGAGATTTATTCCGGAGAATCGAATGGAAAACAAGGATTCATGTGGCTAATCCACTCATTTTGAGTTCTCAAATGAGGTTAGGTCAATTCCACATCGAATTTCATGGTCAAAATAGGGTTTTGGGCTGTTTAGGGTCGAGTTTAGTGGGAACCGGTCGACCGGTGACAGGGGAGGGTAACTCCACTGGTCGGCCGGTGGAGGGGTGACCGGTCGACCGGTGAGGAAGAGTTCCAGGGCCAGCCATGGCCGATCCGCGTGAAACAAAGTCAAATCCTAATTTTAGGTTCGATTTTGACATATTCTCAAGGGAAATACATAGATCCAGTTTCAAATCAACAAATAGGGTCCAAAGAATCAAAAACCCCCAATTTTCATCAAGGTTTCATCAAAATGCATTTGAAAATGAAATTTAAACCAAAAATCACCAAACTCGACTAAAATGAGTTCCATAAGTCTAAATCTGAAAATCTAAAGTAAGTTTCAAAGAGTTTTACCTCGATCCAAGCTTTGATGTTGAAAATCTCGTAAAAATCTCTGTTTTTCTTCAAATCCGGTTCAAGAACGTTCTTGAGAGAGAGGGAAAACTTGAAAGAAGGAGAGAGGAAGAGATGGGCGAGAGTGAGAGAGAGCTCAGTGAGGGAGAGAGAGAGACTAAGAGAAAGAGTAAGTGAGTGAGAGGGTTACGGGAGAGGAGGGAAAAGAAAAGAAAGAAAGAAAAGAAAAGGAAAATAAAATAAAATGAGGAAAAGAAAATAATAAGGAAAGACAAATAAAAGTAAAGAGGGGTGGAACTGTAATTACAAAAAATAAATTTAAAAGTTCATGATTAATTAAGAAAATCAATTTAGACACACTAATAAACCACAATTATCATAATTAAACAAGTTTAATTCCGGAGGGCGTTACAAGTACTCAGAAAAATTTGAAAATGATGAACTCCGGCACCACCAAACTAAATCATATTCTCTCTATAGGAAAAGCAAGTTGTGATCGTCATGGCCTTGGATACATCGATGAAGGTTCAATGTCAAAGACTGTGTTTGTTAAAGCGTCACCTGCTCCTGAGTCTCAAATTATCCCATGTAAGAAAGTTATTATTTTTCACCCTCAACAAAATCAAGAAGGTTTGTTCCTACATGTCACTATTATAATTTGTCTGGTCACATTAGACCTAGATATTACAAATACTTGAATGCTTTAAAAAGTGGTATGATCATTAATCCATCAAATTTCGCATTCACAAGAAGGACACTTAGAATGAATATTGATGTGTACGAAAAATTTCCTAGACATGTGTGGGTAAGAAAATATGATTTGAGATGTCATATGACTTATACTTCTTTAGAAGCATGTACTAATGGTTGTGTGTGAAGTAATGGTGGTTGGTCCAAACATTTGACAGGTGATAATAGCAAGATTAAGAGAGTGTTACATTCAGGGGGAGCAATTTGCAGAAATCAATTAATTGGAACGTGATCTGCAGGAAATTGTTGCACAGAGTATTCCATCAGGTGTTACAACACTTTCTGTGACAACAGTTTCTAGAAGTTTTTTTTATTATTTTCTTTGGCAGTATTTTGTCAAAAAGGGGGAGAACTCTTAATTACCCCCTTAGTTGAATTTTATCTTTTATCTTGTAATAGGTTCATTTTGTTAGTAATGTTAGTTTTGCCAAAAATAACCAAAGGGGGAGATTGTTAGTGCATTTTGTGTTAGCCTATTTTTGGCAAATTGGTTATAAGATTGGCTGGAAATTAGAGGCCTTGATTGTTGAAAATCAAGAGTGAACTTTTGGGGAATTGATTTAATAGCTGGAAATCAAAGGCCTGATTGTTGAAAATCAAGAGTTGACTTTTGAGGAATTGATTGCTTGTGATCTTGAGGTTGGAGGCAGGTCGAATCAGTGGGAGATGGCAGAACGGAGGTGAGGTTTTGGTTTTGAAAAAAAAAAACAGAGAGAGTGCAGAAAATAGTAGAGACGTTTGTGTTCATGTCAGAGTGAGATTGAAATGTTAAGTGTCGTTTGATGTGTTGCGATGAATTGTTAAACACTTTCGAGTTAATTCTTCGGGAGAAGATTTCTTTGGTTTCGGTAGGACACCGTCAAGTCGAGTGGTGCTCGTTGATCAAGCTTCCTAAGGAGATTCTAGGCAACGGCGACATCGTCAAGGAGAGAGTCGTTGAGTGTGTAAGACCGTTCGGTCCTTTGTAATCTTTTGAACTTAGTGGATTGATCACTGTCTGGGCGTGGCCCCGCAGATGTAGATGTGCGCACCGAACTACGATATCATTTTTTGGTGTTCTTTAGTTTTTCCCTGCATTACTTTCTGTTTCTACACGTTTTCAATTCTCTGTCGTTTTTTGCTGGTTTAATTTAACGTATCTGTCATCAGTATTACAACTAGTATTATAACACTCTTTGTGACACTGACCGAAAACGTTAGGAATTAAATTTTCACAGTCAACCTTGCAGTGGCATGGTGGATGCTGGACAGCATTGACGACATATGCGACGTCGAAGCTCTTCACCCTGACAGTCCATGGACTTGTCCCACGTACCGAGTCACCTTCGACGCTTCTGTCATATGGGACCTGATTGGACCAAAGCGGCTGTTTGGACCAGGAGGATTGTATCGAAACTTGGTGTGGTTATTCCTCATTGGAGCTGTCATGCCGGTTCCTATTTGGTTGCTGAGCAAAATGTTCCCAGAAAAGAAATGGATTCCCTTGATAAACATACCAGTTATGTCCTATGGCTTTGTAGGAATGTCTCCCGCAACTCCCACCAACATAGCGAGTTGGCTTATCACCGGAACCATCTTCAACTACTTTGTTTTCTGATACCACAAACGATGGTGGCAGAAATATAACTATGTTCTATCTGCAGCATTGGATGCTGGAACTGCATTCATGGCTGTCCTGTTGTGTTTCGCCTTGCAGAACGAGAACAAAAATTTGAAGTGGTGGGGCACTGCCCTTGATCACTGTCCGTTGGCAACATGCCCGATTGCACCGGGTATTAAGGTTGATGGATGTCCAGTTTTCTGAAGCTGAAAACAAGTAGGAAATGATGTGGCCATGACTAGGGAAGAAGAGAAGAAAGCAAAAATGTGTTGAATTGGCAGTTAACTATAATTTTCTTGCTTATTCTCTCTGAAATAGAAGGAAAAAGAAAGGGTATCCCCACTAATGCTTCAGGATAGAATTAGTTGTTAAAGTGCAATCTGTGGCCGACTAATAATAATATGTACCGACTACAATTTACAAAATGTGCATTGTAAAATGCAAAAGCAGTAAATAAATCAGCAACATCACGCATTTTTCTTGAATGTAAATAAATATAATAATAATAATAAAAAATATCACCTCTATCCTATATTGTTTTACTCTGCGTTTGACTTTTGAAAGGAATGAGATCAAACTTGGACTTAGTGCAGCCATTCCTCATGACTATTTTTTTCCCTCGATTTTCTGGAATCCTGGTCATGTCTAATATTGGTCGCCGTACGCTGCACATATATTTCAGAACCTAGGGACCTATTATCTCACCTTGCGATCCAAATAAATTCCAAGTTAATTCTTCGGGAGAAGATTTCTTTAGTTTCGGGACGAAACCGTCAAGTCGACTGGTGCTCGCCGATTAAGTTTCTTAAGGAGATTTTAGGCAACGGCAACATTGTCAAGGAGGGAGTCGTTGAGTGTGTAAGACCATTCGGTCCTTTGTAATTTTTTGAACTTAGTGTATTGATCACTGTCTAGGCGTGGCCCCACAGATGTAGGTGTGCACACCGAACTGCGATATTATTTTTTGACGTTCTTTAGTTTTCCCTGCATTACTTTCTGTTTCTACACGTTTTCAATTCTCTATCATTTTTTGCTGGTTTAATTTAACGTATATGTCATCAGTATTATAACACTCTCTTTTTGACACTGACTGAAAAACGGACCTAACACACCTCTTTCTCTTCTTGTATCAATCTAGTGGTAAATAACTACGACCTTTTTCTTTCTTTTTTTTTCGCTCTGTTTCTACAAATTCGTCCAGAAAACTGATACAAATCATCTAAACCAAAATATAAGTTGTGAAGGGTAAACTTTTGGGGACAAATAATTATTACAATTTTACAAAGCTTACAGAATTTTGACATGTGTGCATTCATGATGTTCATGGTACAATTTTTCATTATGGGTAAATGCTCATAAGTAGTAATAGCTAGCATGCAGCGTAAACTTGAATTTGATTACCTCATCTTATGTTCCTCTTTGCAGGGCATGATTCTTTTTGCTCTAACTGCAATGCTCGATTCCTTGAGGCCAGCGCCGTGCAAAAATGGATTGCCGAGTTTGTGCAAATCACCATCAAGAACTCACTACGCAGTGCTATATTCTGGATTGGCTCTATTATCATCTGGAACAGGATGTACTCGCTTTACCTTAGCTACAGTAGGTGCAAATCAGTTCGAAAAACAAGACGGTAGAGATATTTTCTTCAACTGGTACTTCTTCATCATGTACATGTCGGCTGTGATAGCTTCAACAGCCATTGTGTATGTTGAGGACAATATTAGTTGGGAATTGGGTTTTGGGATATGTATTCTTGTTAGTTTGATTGGTGTGGCCATTTTCTTGTCCGGAAAGCGTTTCTATCTTCGCGATAAGCCACTTGGTAGTCCATTCCTGGATTTCGCTCGCGTAGTTGTCGCTTGTTTTCGGAAGAGGAAAGTTCTGATCTCATCTAGAAGTGAGGATTACTACTACGGCCATGATGGAAATGCAAAAATAGTGGCTACAATACCAGCAAAGAACTTCAGGTATAAAGTTGAGTTGATAAACACTAGTATAATTTGATAATATTACTTGAAATCCACCCACCAAGAATAAGCTTACAAAGAAACGAACATCCTATTACTGAATTGGGACAAATTCATTTGAAGAGAGAGAGAGAGAGAGAGAGAGAGAGAGTGAAAAAAAGAAAGTTAGGAAATGTGCTCCCTTAACTCACCTCTTTTGTTTTGTGTTTTGTGTTTTTTTTTTTTTTTTTAAATTCTGCCCCTCCAAAGTTATTATATAAAGTGAAGGCGAAAATCTGGTATAGTCAAAGAAATGGCATAAATGTTTGTGCTCTCTCACTAGAGGAGGATTTCTTCAGATTCTCCTTGCAAAAATGCCACACATTCTCCCACTAATTACTCTTTTTTTTGTTTTTGTTTTTTTCCCACTAATTACTCTAACAAGGTAAAAATTTGTTTGCAGGGTTCTGAACAGAGCGGCTCTAAAAACTGAAGGAGACCTAAAACCAGATGGCTCGGTTGCAAAACCGTGGCGGTTGTGCACAGTACAACAAGTAGAAGATGTAAAAGCTCTCATAAGAATTCTGCCACTGTGGTCATCCAGTATATTTTTGAGTACTCCAATAGCAGTCCAACGCAGCTTAACAGTCCTCCAAGCTCTAACCATGGATCGCCACCTCGGTTCAAACTTCAAAATCCCAGCAGGTTCTTTCCAAGTACTAGTCTTCATATCAAGTTCCATTTTTGTCATACTAGTTGATCGTTTCCTGTATCCCATGTGGCGGAAGTTGACCAGTCAATCCCCCGACTCCTTTCCAACGAATCGGAGTAGGCCACGCGATGAACGTGCTTTCCATGGCGATCTCAGCACTTGTTAAGTCAAAGCGTCTCAAGGTAGCTCATAATTATGGTTCGAATTTGGCGCCCACGTTGGCTTTATGGCTATTTCCACAGCTGGTTTTCGTTGGAGTTGGAGAAGCATTTCATTTTCCTGGCCAAGTTGGTTTCTACTATCAAGAATTCCCTGCGTCACTTAAAAGCACAGCAACTGCTATGGTGTCAATTGTAATTGCCATAGCTTACTACTTAAGCTCGGCTCTAATCGATCTCGTTCGGAGGATTACCGGATGGTTATCGGATGATATAAACAAAGGGAGGCTTGATAGTGTGTATTGGGCGTTAGTCGTGTTAGGTGTGCTAAATTTTGGTTATTTTCTAGTATGTTAGACCTTCTATAAGTATCAAAATAATGTTGACAACGGAAGGGACAAAAATTCTGTCTCTGACATGTAATGGTCATTAGTAGAGAGATTTGTGTTGTAATGCCAAAAGAGATGATATCATCCTGTCCTGAACTGGATCTTCTATGTGTCGCAAACGGTGTTTTGACCAATCATATCATATTATGTCATATCATTTAAAAATTTTAAGATAGTTGTAACTAACTTTTCCATGCTGTATTGTTTGAATCTATGATAAAGTGATTATTTAGACACCATTTGAGACATTATTAATTGAACAGGTAATTTGAATCCTTATGTCCTCTTATCTTTCTCGACTCAAATTCTACTTTTTGACTTGGGGAAAAATTCAGCGACAATTCTATAATGTGTCGAGTCAATTATTTGATGTGTTGTTCTAGCGTTTAATTTATTTCTTTCTAAGTCTCTGGATTGGGCACATACAGGAAGGTAATTGCAGATCATAGTGACATAAAGCCTATTTCATTTTCATGCAACTTTGGACCACCGTTTGAAATATGGAAAATAGTAGAAAATATGCCAATATAAAAAACTTAAGAAAGTATATAGGCCAATTTTTAATTATAGAAATTAATAGGCCATAATTTGTCAAGTTATAGTTCATAACTAGATAAGTTATGGACAAACTTGTTAAGTTATGGTTCATAGCTAGACAAGATATGGACAATTATGGACAATAACTTGTCAAGTTATGGTTCATAACCAGACAAGTTATGGACGAAAACAGTAATTTAGCCTATTTATTAACTTATGTAAACTATTGGCCTATTAATTTTAATTCATCTCAAATCTTGGCCTATTTCCCTCTTTCTCCCTTGAAATAAAGCCTATTTCAAGATAGGGATATTGGATAGTGACCCTTTCTAAAACATATTTTTAGTAAATTTCGTTAGATAAATTAAAAAATATTTTTTAAATGACTGATTAATCAAATTAATGATGGATTTACCAAAACCAATCAATGATTTACCAACATCAATAAATGGTTTATCAAAATACAGTATATTTATTTCTTGAAGAAAATTTTTTAATTAGCAAAACTATTGACATTTACTTCATAGTTCTAGCGACTCGCAAGCACCATCCAGTCCACCGTGTTTTGTCTTCAAAAAATGATACAAGTGGGGACAATAAAAATTGGTCATTTATACTAAAAAAAATTCAAGATAAACAAAAACGTTTTTGTAGGCACAGTCTAATGGTAATTTTACACCTAATCCCATCTTGTAATGTTCATTTCGAATCCCCCTACTTCTAAAACCTCAGGTCCAATTCTAGATTGCCTCTGCATATAAAGAGTGTTTATAACATTATATAGATATGTGATAGAATTCTATCTTTTGAAGGGGAAAAAAAAAAAAAAAAAAAAAAAAAGAGAGAGATTGTTAAGTTTGATATTAGGTTTGATTTTTGGAAAATCCAATTTTTCTTGTTTTGAAATTTTCGTTACACCTTTTTGAAAAGGAAAGGACTAAATCTAATAAATGAGGGATACTCTGCTGAAAAAGTAAGATAAATAAACAATTATTAAATCCGTAATCCTAATTCTAATAGATAATTGATAATTCACTTCCAAAAAAATCTAATTGATTTCATTGAGTATTGACCCATCCGAAATACAAAATAAAAAGAGTAAATTAAATTAAATCTAATAATACGCCTAAAACCAATATAAGAGTTTTAAAAAAAAAACAATATATCAAAAGCTAAATATCTTCCGAGTTCAGATTAATTCTAAACCGTACGTGACCAGTATGCTGTGCGAATACAAAAACTAAAAAAAAAAAGTTGTAAAAGAATAAATATGAAACTGTTTAAATAAGGAAATTGATGAAAACTTAATTGTAATTTTAAAATTTCAACTAGATATTCTAATAAAAACAGAATCATACTAAAATCTAAATTTGATGAAAATTCTACCAAAAGATTCTTGTTTAACTAATTCCTAAACACAAAAAACAAAAAAAACAAAAAAACAAAAAAAAAACCACAAAATTAAATTGTAGCTTAATATAGCTAGTAAAGAAGTCTTTTGAGTTTAATATTGTACCCAGTGAAGATTTTCTAGGGATTCATGTAAGGCTAATTTAGTAACCAGAAGGATTTCCAAGCGCAAAGTTGTGCCATTATCAGTTGCTGAGTCTCATCAACCATTAACGTTGGACTTGGAACACCAAACATTACTTGATCAATATTCTTGCACGCATCCTCCGCAAATCGGTCGATCTTGGCCATGGCAGATTCACTCGTCTCCACATTTTCTCTGAGAAAACTGAGGGAAAATTCACTGCCAAGAAATCTTGTGGTGAACAAAAGTTGAAACTCGTCAGAATAGTAAGGCAAAGGTGGCATCCCCGTCTGTAGAAATTTCATGCACCAAATCGCCTCTTTGGCCAATTCACGTACAATAAAGTTGGGTAAAGGGAAAGTCTTGGCAACTATATTGGAGTTGACACAGATTTCAAGCCATTTCCAGAAGCCTACGATTCTCATGGCTGATTGATAGCCAAACCCTAATTCACCCACAAGCCGACCGTATGCTTGCTCGTCGATGACATGGGAAATTATGATCTTTTCAGTTGCGGTGAGATCGGTTATAAATGGTTGATTTTCCAGGCTTATTTTCATGGAGATTATACCAAGAAGAATATGAATGAGGAGGATCGGAATTGGTGAATAATTCCAAGAACTTATTGGACTGGTTTAACTATACTGCTTGAAAATAATTAATTGACATACTTGAGAACTCATCTATATATATATATATATATTTTTTTTTTTTAAATAGTAATCTATTTAAAAATTTAAAATGGTATATTTGAGTTCAAAAGTATGTATTTAAAACCTAATTAAGTTTGCACCACAACTAAACAGGAATTTAAAATTCGGGAAGGAATTCGATCGAGAGTTATAGATCTATCTAATTAATTAATACTCTTTTAATGTCTATTTACAAAATCTCTCCTTTTTATAGATACTCTTCACATGATACCTAATCTAACTCTTTGATGCCGCCACTCCGATTTTAATTTTATTTGATTTATAGAAATACAATAATTAATAAATCTAATTAAAACGCTTCTCATGCTAAAAATAACATCTCAAAACACCCAAAAAAAAAAATGTAAAAGTAAAAGTATGAATATGTTCATAATATGATCCTTCTCTTCTTCTTTTTTATGAAAGTCATAATATGGTCTTTGTTTTTCTATCTTCATGACCAATAGTGTCTTGCGTTATTGAAAACAAAAACAAAAACAATTACTAAAAAGTGAAGTAGAAGATCTAAAAGCTCCCATAAGAATTCTCCCACTGTGGTCATCCAGCATTATCTTTGAGCACTCCAATAGCAGACCAAGGCAGCCTAACAGTCCTCCAAGCTCTAACCATGGATCGCCACCTCAGTTCAGACTTCAAAATCCTAGCAGGGTCTTTCCAAGTACTAGTCTTTATATCCAGTTCCATATTTGTCATACTAATTGATCGTTTACTCTTTTCCATGTGGCAGAACGAGACTGGTTGATCTCTAACACCTCTCCAATGAATCGAAGTAGGCCACGCGATGAACTTGCTTTTCATGGCGGTCTCAGCGCTTCTGGAGTCAAAACGCCTCAAAGTGGCACTTAACCGTGACCCTAATTTGGCGCCCATGTTTGGCCATATGGCTGTTTCCACGGTTTCGGTTTGAATTGGAGACAGCATTTCATTTCCCTGGATAAGTTGATCTCTACTACCAAGAATTTCCTGTATCACTTAAAAGCACAGCAACTGCTATGGGGTCAACTGTAATTGCCATAGCTTACTGCTTAAGCTCGGCTCTAATCGATTTCTTTCGGAGAGTTATTAGATAGTTACCGGATGATATAACTAAAGGGACGCTTGGTAGTGTGTACTGGGTGTTTGTTATGTTAGGTCTACAAAATTTTGGTTGTTTTCTAGTACGTTTTACCATCTATAAATACCAAAATAATGTTCACAAGAGTAGGGATGAAAATTCTCTCTCTGATCTGTAATGCTCAATATTAGTAGAGAGATTTGTGTTGATAAAGCCAAAAGATGGGAGTCAAATGCTTTTGATTCAATTATACTTTTTTATCTGGAAGTACAATTTTAGCAGCTATTTATATAATGTGCCGACTCAATTATTTGCTATGTTGTTCTGGCATTTTATTGCTTTCTAAATAGATGTCTCCATAGAATAGTGGCCGAAACACTAGATATTGATCTCCATTTTTTTTCTTCTTAACACGAGTTAATCACTTTTATTCAGCTCAGTGTTGAAAATTTATAGCTATATGACAGTGGTATTTTTTTTATTTTCTTTTTATCCGGAGTCACTTTTTGTCCCATACAATCTCTTTGAACATTGAGTCTTTTTTAATTTAAAAATCGGAATTAGATAATGTCGCATATTATATGTTGCAACAAATTGTGGAACATATTTTGAAATATTTAAATTTTGAGAGATTATGATCCAAGATTTGAGATAAGATTTTGTATTGCTCTATATGAGTCTCAAATCAGATGCAATTGATGGCTTCTTAGGGCATTTACACATTATGTCTTGGGAAGTCCACACTTAACGTGCTTTGAGAGAAGAATTTGCTGTTTTCACAATTTGCAGGGAATTCAACCAATCATCATTGTTCGGGAGAAAAATTAGTGGTCTTGGGGAGAGGACGGTTTGTAATTTGAAAGGGGTTCAAGTGTGTAGACATTGAAGACGGTGGTGCTCACTTGGCAAATACATTGAGTTGATTCTAAGTCTAATTGGTGTATGTAATCGTTGAGATTTAGTGAATTGGTCAATAGCTGGGCGTGGTCCATGGATGTAGGTGTATACCGAACCATGTGAAATTTGATTGTGTATTTAGTTTTGCTTTTGGCAACTTAATTTTAATTAAATTTGATAAATTACTAACAACGGATCATTCAAGATTAGAGGAAACGAAACAACACTGATTATGATCATTTTGTTTTTTTGTTTTTTTTTTTTTATTAATGGCAACTTATTGTGAGTTTTTGCTTTCATATGGTAAATATTGTTTCCTTATGATTATGATCGTTATATAACCAAAAATCACATTTGTTTGATCATGATTCTTGAGTACTTTTTTTAATATAATCTTTGTGGCAAAAACAAGGAATGGCCTTGTGTTATTGTGTATTATTGATCGATTAAATGGAATGCATAAAATAAATATTACTTGTTTGTTACGACAATAATGTGATAATCAATTATTAAAAAAAATGGGGATTAAAAAGTGATCATTACGGTAATTTCAATGGTATTGTGCTAATGAAGAACCTTTTGTTTTCATTATGACAAGAATGTGATCGTAATTTGCTCTCCATCACCCGCACTTGTGTTTCTTTTTTGCGTCCTCTGTTTTTCGCTTGACCATTTTATTTCCTTTACGCCCAAGTTTGAGAATTAGAAGTCCCATCACCAGTTCGGTCTTTCAATAGACATTTTGGGTTTGTTTCTGTTTTTGTTTGTTGGAACAAAAAAAAAAAAAAAAAATGATTAAACTCCGCAGCTTTGATGTTTACCATACTACCCTTCATTTACATCCCGTGTGATGATCACATGGACAATCCCGTTACTAAATTTAAGAACATCTCTAATGCAATACTGTAATTAATGTGCTAATAGTATATTAAGCATTTGAGTATAAAAAATTCTCTTCACTGCAATGCTATTTATTTTGTCAAATTTCTCATATACTATATGAGAAAAAGTAGATTTAGCATTTCAAATAGCATTATGAATTAGAACAAAAATTAAAATATCATACCATATCACACTTTTTGATAGTAAATATACAATTGACATTAGCATTTGTATTGGAGATGATCTAACAGAACGACTAAACCCGATGAAATATAAAAGTTCAGGGCAACGAATGACGCATATATGAAGGTATACCGCGTCGCACCATAGCGGTTCTTAAAATTTTTTTGCATTGATTCCTGAAAGAGTTCAAATGAGATTTTAGCAAGGTCCTCCCTAACTCGTCCATATATCTAACAATATATAAAAGAGTTAAAGATTTAAAAATTCTTAAATAGTTGTATAAATAAATTTATCATTATTCGGTAAACAATAAATTTTTTAAGTGTCTCTAACACAGTAATAAGTGCGGAGCACATTTCAAAATTAGTATAAAATAAAAATAACAAAATTATACTAAAAATAACAAAACCAACAAAACTTGCATTTAATGATTGAATGGCAGTTTAATGTACAAGTAAAAGAAGTCTATACATGAGTTGTTATTCAGGAGGTGGATATTCCTTGTAGGAGGACAATATCCGAAAGACATTCGAACAAGAAAGCTGAGCCCCCATTTGATCTTCTTCCTCCAGAAGAGATGGTAGTTTAAGCGTACTAACTTTTTGATCAACTATTATGTCACTAAAAGCATACTTGAACACACACTTGACTAGAAAGTCCATCTTGGCCAAGGCACTTTCTCTCTCTACATATTTCTCTCTCAGAAAACAAAACGAAAAATCGCCGCTATTAATAAAGACCGGCGAGAATAGAAGTTGGAAGTCATCCGACTGATAAGGTAAGGGTAGAATCCCTCTTCTTAGAAATTTGATGCATCGAATCGCCTCTTTCGCTAATGCGCATAGCATGAAGTCGGATAAAGAAGAAATACTAGCGACAACCTTAGAGTAGCCACAGCTTTCAAGCCAATTCCAGAAGGCTAGAATTCCCTTGGTTGATTCTTTGTCAAATCCTACGCTGCCTACAAGCCGAGCATATACTTGCCCGTCAAGGCTATGCTCCAGCATTTCAGAAGTGAGATCACTAGAGAGGGAATCCATTACTTATTTTCATACAAAATAGTACGTGAGAAGAATGGAAAGAGGAAAGATTAGAATTAGAATGAATTTCATGAGGTGATTGTGGTTTAAATAGTGGTTATTACGAGTCCTTGTGGAACTAAAACTCTTTTTTTTTTCAAGGAAATAAACTCTTTGACACCCGGAGGAACTCAAATATATTCCAGATAATGTACTAAAAAAAAGTACTGCATATATGAAAAATAAAGGGAAAAGATCAACTTAATTGGACCTAATTTATTTACAAAAAATATAGTAGTACGTAAGAAGAATGGAAAGAGGAAAGATTATTATTAGAATGAATTTCATGAGGTGATTGTGGTTTAAATAGACAACCGCTACATTATTTAGTATTATTACGAATCCTTGCTAAAACTCTTTGACACCCGGAGGAATTCAAATATATTCTAGATAATGTACTAAAAAAAAGTACTGTATATATGAAAAATAAAGGGAAAAGATAAACTTAATTGGACCTAATTTATTTACAAAAAATATATTTTTTGCTTTTGAGAAAAATCTGAGAAGATATATATTTTTTTTTGTTTTAGGGTTTTCCTTTTTTTTTTTTTTTTTTGAATCTACAAAACAATTTTTTTTTCATTTAATGGTAGTTATATCGTTTCACCCTAATTTTTTGGTTTATAAATTACGTGAGGGATGAAATCAAAATAATTATTTTAAATTCAAAAGATTGTTGTAGTTTCTAAAAACATATATACAAATAGAGAAATAATTAAAATTAGGAGTTGTAATTACATAATTAACCCTTATCTTTTTGTTACTTCTGTAAATCGGATGGATCCGGGTGTCCCCACTCGCCCACTTGCTAAACGGGGCCAACTTATGTTCTAAAAAAGAAAAATAATAAACAATCAACTTATGTTCTAAACGGGGCCAACTTCCAAACAACTAATAAATAATCACGTTCTGAACTTTTGCTAATCTTAGAAAAATTGCCCAACTTATGAACTTAAATTTCGAAAGTTCATAAAAGAAGAAGGGGAAAAAAAAAAAGTTGAAGAAGAACAAAAACACTCCGATTATGTCTCAAGAACTTATGTTCTAAAAAATAATAATTAATAAACAATCAACTTATGTTCTAAACGGGGCCAATTACTTCCAAACAACGAATAAATAATCAAGTTCTGAACTTTTGCTAATCTTAGAAAAATTGCCCAACTTATGAACTTAAATTTCGAAAGTTCATAAAAGAAGAAGGGGAAAAAAAAAAAGTTGAAGAAGAACAAAAACACTCCGATTATGTCTCAAATGGTGCCCTGAGTCAGACGAACGGATCTTCCGTACTAACACCGTAAAGCTTAATTCCTTCCGTGTTCCTTCCTAGTATCCTTTCAATCCAATCCTCAGACTACTTGACGTACACGAACGCATAAAAGTGACCCATCTTCTCTGCTCGTTATTTTCAGTTAATAATGGATTTGATGCAATCCCCATAACGCCTGATAACCAGTAATACTTGTTTATATCAATTAAAAGAAAAGGAAAGGAAATGTAATGTAATCATGCACGCTTTATAAGTTACTATAGTCTATAATATATACCTCGTAAAGAAACAATCTTGGCGTCAAAGCACTCCTTTGAACTTTCTTGTCGTTGTTGTTGTTGTCAAGTGAATCAGAACCGTCAATTTCTTGATTTTCTTGCGTTTTAAGAATTGATTTCACCTCCACCCTCGGAGGGAACAACATGTAATCTCCATCATTATGCTTTCGTGATTTTTGATCTGGAGGAACAATAATTACGCCGCGGAAGTCCTCTTTCTCCTTGCGTTCAATGGTCTCTTTAAAAGGACCCTTGTAATTCTGATCATAGAAGAAATTACCAAAGTAGTGCTTGTAATTGCCGAGGAGATTATCGGTGTAAGTGATTGAACCGTGGGGAAACTCCGATTCCAAGTATAACGATTTGAGGAGGATCATCGCTTCATCGGCGTAAATGGACAACAATATGTCGGACAAGGAAGAGATTCTTCCGACTATGTTTACTGAGAAAATGTCGTCCATGGAGGACCATAAAGAAATGATCATTCTCGCACTATAAGGGGTCAGTTTCAGCTCAACGAGGGACAGAAGTTTAGAATAGAGAACAAGTTTAGGAGACGCCATAGTTCTTGAGAAACTTTGATCACTAGCAGTACTAACAAAGATTACAGCAAAATCTTGAAGAAGAAGAAGAAGACTATTTGGAGTTTGGAGGCATGCGCTTTTTATATGTTCTGGTTTAATCCTATTCAGTATTAATGCGCATTGGATTAAACGCATCGAACCGAATTGTACATATAATATATATATATTTTTTTTTTAAAGAATTTTTCTTACATTCTTTAAAATATGATTTTATGCAACGTGGTCTTTGTGTGTAACCTTTTCTTTTTTCGAATTGCTTTATTGAATATATATTTTTTTTTTAAAAAAGAATTTTTCTTACATTCTTTAAAATATGATTTTATGCAACGTGGTCTTTGTGTGTAACCTTTTCTTTTTTCGAATTGCTTTATTGAAATATTATCTCAAATGCGTCCTTATTAAACTTTTTTTTTCCTCTTTATCTCGAGCAAATCTTTTTTTCTCATATATATGTTCAAATGCGTCCTTATTAAACTTTTTTTTTTCCTCTTTATCTCGAGCAAATCTTTTTTTCTCATATATATGTTATATACTTATCTAATATACAATATTCAATCAAAGCACACGTTTGCATGCATTTTAGTCTATGTTTTATTTATTACAAGTTAGTTTTGTTTAGTTACCACTCAAATCTTTCATCCATCTATTTTGTCATTTTGTACTTTTTTCTTTTCTTAAATATAAAATCTCATTTTTTTTAAAAAATTTCTAATACGCTTGACGTACCGATAGATCAAATTTTTTAACAGTTGAATCTACATATTTTTTTTACTTTTACGTGATTTTATGCAGATTCAACAGACATAAAACTTAACCTACTAATATGTTAGAAAAGGTCCCTTTTTTTTAATTCCTTCTAATTTGTCCACATTAAAATAATTTTTCCCAACCTGTCCTCACTTAATCAACCAGAAACAAGTTCTTCAGCAACAAGCTGAGCCACACACGTTGTAAAGTTTACACATTATATCGAGTATCATTATGGGCAGGGAAAAAGTTGAATGAAGACTTTTGGGGGCAACAATATGATTTACATTTGCCCAAAATTAGAGAAGGCCATAAGGTTCTAGCCAAAACGAAAAGTCGGAAAAAACAAAAAAAATCTTGGTTAGCCGCTAAGATAAAAAGTCAGTCATTGATTCGTGTTGGTGTATTTTGTACAATCAAATGGCCCGATTTCTTGATTAAGCTTTCGTTTCACCTGTAAACCAAAAACAATAAAAACATGTTAGTAGTTAACACACATGGCAAATGAATTCCCAAATCTCAATTATTAGCTAATATAAATAAATAACTAACAAAATACTCGACTCGAGTATATAAAAAGATTACCAAAAAAAAGTAAATAAAATAAAAAAAAGCACCAGAGTCTTTACCATCTCGGTTTGAAAACACACAGACATCAGTGATCATGACTACTGGTTTTTCAGTGAATTATATACTGGTTTTTGTATCACCAAGATCATTATTTTCACCCATGAGAATCACGATATTTTTCCAACCAAAAAAATATATATATATACATACATACATATCATTATTTTCACTCAATTATATATATTTTATTTTTGTATAAAATTGGTCAAAATTAGTGTGTTCAGTAATTTGGTTGAAATGATTATACAGGAAATAGAACTTACCGGCGACCAAGGACCTGGTTCGGGTGACCTGTCTTGGGGTGAATTTTGTACGGCACCAGTTTTCATGGTTAAGATCTCCTGCATCCAAATTTGTATAACATCAATATCTTACTAGAAATAAATCAAGAATACAAACAAAGAACCAAACACAGTCTGAGTCATCCAAGCCTGCATGTGTCATAAATGGAACAATATCTTAAGTCATCCAAGCCTGCATGTGTCATATATAGAACATATCTTACCTCTCCAGCAGCTTCAAAAGCCGCAAACCATTCGTCTGAAAATGGAGTAGCATATGGTGGAGGTTTAACCAGAATATCTTGCTTCTTTTCGATCCCAGTATTTTCGCTGAAAAGAAAGACAGCAATATTTAAGATTCATAAAATCTTTAATAGTTAAGTAACAGATAAAGCAAATGAAATGAACATTAAATAGAGATACGCACCGTTTTTTTGTTACATCCTGATCTTCTGTGGGCAGGGTGTTTTCTAGCTCGTGTTGCTGTTCAATGTCATGTGTGCAATTGACAGATTCTTGGTTGTTGCTTACATTTGGATCTAAATAAGACTTCGGAGAATTAGCTTCCTTGCTGAGCTCATTTTCATGTCTACACTTCGTAACACACCGCATATTCTCAACAGACAGCGCAATCTCAAGGGAACTGGTCGCTGCAACTTCCACTTCTAAGGACTCGGCATTTTTGTTCACATCAAGACCATCAATATGTACTATAGGTCCCTCATCACGTTCTTTGAGAACATTCTCAAAATCAATTTCCTCACATAAAACTTCAGCGCTGTTGTCCACCAGAGACACATGATCCAAACTAACGCCAGGAACACTTGCAAGAAGAACTTTGTTTATTTGATTAACTGGATCTTGAAGATCGGAGTTCCCATCTGGCTCCCCCTTCATGCAATTAGCAGCCTTGGATTCCTTCAATGCTTGACCCAGACTTTCCAATCCACTTCCATCATGAACACCGACTTCCAGGTCAACATCTGTGATGGGAATTTGATTAACTGGATCTTGAAGATCGGAGTTCCCATCTGGCTCCCCCATCATGCAATTAGCAGCCTCGGATTCCTTCAATGCTTGACCCAGACTTTCCAATCCACTTCCATCATGAACACTGACTTCCAGGTAAACATCTGTGTTGTTCCCATCTTGTGATTTCTGGGGCTTTTCAAGATAATGGAACAAGCAATGAGCCTCTAGACTCTGTTTCTCCTCGTGAGGTATTCTATCAGCTTCAGAAAAGCAAGGCATTACCTGCTCATCTTGCTCTTCCTGGTGCTTGCTAACATCATTTTCACCTCTTAACAAATAAATTTTCCCCATTGAAGAATGATCATAATCAAGAGAAAGTTTATCTTCAGGCTTTAAATTAGTATTACGGCAAGAACTTTCAACTGATAAATTGATCTTTTTGTCTTCTGCATCATCATGCTTGGGTGTATGATTTATCCAAGAATCACCTTCAACTTGCACTTTAAGACTTGGTTCACATGTGATATAAGGAACTTCTCGTTCACTTTCACCAAAGTTTCCACTTCCACCAAAGTGTCCACTTCTCTGGCAAGTGACATTAACATCTTCGGCACTCACTGCATCTGTGAGGTGATCTTCATCCATGTTTTCCAGTTCCACGGAAGTAGAATGGCCATGGAGCTGAACGTCATTCTGAAACTGAGCATCCTGGTTGTAATTCTCAACTACTGGTTCGCTGTCAACAGAAACGAGCAGAATATCCTCAAGGTTTTTACGCTCCACCAGCTTAGCTGTATCCGATCCACAATCTTGCATAGAAACTAGTATGAGACAAGGGCTGCTGGACCTTTTAAACTCACTTTCACAAGCATCGGTACCTTTCGGTTCATCAGATTGAATATTATTTTCCAGCTTTGATTCTTCAGGGAAAAAGCTTTTTCCACCTAATAAGCAATCATCAACCTGCAACATAACCTGATCCCGCAAAGCATGTTCTGTCGTAAGGAGACACTTTGAAAACTCTAGATATTCAGGTTTCTCCACAGCATCGCTAACAACCACCTCGTGCTGATTAGTTATCAAGGTGCTTATGTAACTTTTGCTGCTTTCAACTGTTGTGTTGGCATCCGGTGACTGCACACCTGCATCTTCTAAATTTAATTGTGCCCCCACTTTTTGAAGGGAGTTAGTACCATCATTTTTCTGCTCTATGGACCTAAGAGGAGAAGGTGCATCAGACTTTTCAATTTCAGTTACACTATTGTTTTGGACTTCTGAACTGATATTTGCAACATTGTTCTGAAGCATCTCGCTGCTGGAAATTGGACCGGCTTCACAAGATAAGGCATCCATCATCTCAGCTTGTTCCCCACATGATTCACTGACGTTGCACTTTCCAACATTGATCTTTGAAGAAACACCATGATCCTCAATTGACAAATAGGACGGTTTGTCTTCTGCAAACAGGTGATCATTAATATTACTTTTCACAGAAAAAGCTGTAACTTCTGATGCGGAGCTAGAATGGGATGTAAGGTCTGGATTTTCTTCTATTTCACTCCCTTTAGTACTCATCGCACTGTCATCAACAACTTTCATGTTCGTGTCATACTTGTCCACCTGTTGAAGGGTTCCTGTCTGCAAAAAGTCGTCATCATTTCTCTGCTGCATTAGATCTTCTATTTGAGAAGTTGATTTACTGGTACATTGTCCTGTTTGTCCAAGAATTTGGTGATCTATGCTGACAAAAGTACTGTCAAACTCTTTTTGACCTTTTATGGCTTTAGAAACATTATCGTTGCATTGCACTTTCTGTTCCATCTTCTGCATATTACTTACTCGTGAGTCAGATTCCACTATTTCATGCAAGGCAGGGTTAATAGCAGATGGAACTGAGCACCCCGAGGTTGCACATGAGGCTTTAATATTTCCTGTTCTTGCTCCGTCTTTAATTACTTCAGGTAAACTTCTCGGAGCAAGTGGGGCCCTTGATTCAAAAACTGTAATTGGGGAACCAAGATTCCTCAAGTTGGACGTGTCAGACATAGAAAGATTGGATGGCTGAGAATTCCTCCTTGATGGATTCTGCAAAGGGGGAGCTTTTGACTGCAATGAAAATAAAATAATAATAATAATAAGAAGAAGAGGAGGAGGAGAAGGAGGAAATCAGACATGTGGAACAGTGCAACTCATAAATTGTTTATTGTATTGATGTACATGATGCAAGAGTTTATCCTTTATTGAATAAAATTCGAGTAATCATACCTGACCAAAGAATCCCAGGGATGGAGATGGCATCCGCAAACCTGATGGTTTTGCCATTTGGAGTTGAGTACGTTGCATGCTAACACTGGTATGGCAAGCAGTTTGAGGGAGAGGTATTGCAGTTTTGCTGGATACATCATCTTGAACTTTCGGTGCAAGCCGAGTTGAAGGAAGTGGGGGATTGAGAATCACCTCTAAGTCACCATTTGCTTCAGTATTCAATTGTAACTGTACATTGCTAAGCGAACACTTTACTGAGGTAGGCTGCACAAGGAAAGTAATAGACAACAAAAGAACCACAACTATTATTGTAGAAAATCAACCTAGGCTAAATCGTATCCCTAACTTCTAGGGAAGTAGTTTCCTGATTTTATTCCCTAAGAAATACCGGAATATTTGTATTTATTGAGGAAGATATTGTAGATCCTGATTTGTAGGGATTCTAGGTCTAATACCGTGTATATATATAGGTGTAATCTTTCATCGTAAATAATAGACGTTATTCATTCTCATATCTCAGAAAACTTCAGTTATAGTCAACTTGAGATTTAAATGATCCTAAACAAGAAAAGGTGCTGACTACTTTCAGTCCAAGAAATGGTGACAGTGTGTAAGATTAGTGATCTCACCACTTCTAAGAGCTACCACACCCAAAAAAAAAAAAAAAAGGATGAAGAATTCACACATGAGAGATAGGATTCTCACCACAGTTCTTTTAGCCTGCCTAAGAGAGGTCTTAGTAGTTAAAGATTTGCCCACAGGACCAGATTTTGAACTATTCACCACATTCTTGGTATTGTTTGAGGAACCCCTTGGTCCAGAATTTATCTGAGCATTCACTGCTGTACAAACAAAAAACAGAAGAAAACATAAAGGAATAAACATATTAGGCTAGACATACATCTAGACTGAACATGACAGTTTAACTTGAAATAGAGTACAAAAATTCAAACTTCATATTTTATTATACAATTCAAGATCCTTGTAAGAATACCAGGCCGAGTTATCATATTCTGCTTTGAATCACTTGCAACTAGTGTAGAAGTACTCTTGGCAATCCTAGAGGAAGCACAATGAGTCTTTTGAACTGGTAATTTAGAAACCTTTGAATCTTTTGCTGATGTTGTTGTTGTGACCAAATTTGCAGGCCTTTTCAGAGTTTAAATTAGTCAAGGTCAGCTACTCCATAATGTGCACATTGTAATGTCAATAAAGAAAACTAGCTCTAGAATTTCTAAGACACAATATATCTCTATATATAACCTAATGCAAAGGATATGAAGACGAAGCCACAGGTCGTGGGCAACCATTCCGTTTTGACCCCCTTCTGTTGACATCATGGGCTGAAAGCACCTTGCACGTGGCCTGAGGATCATGTCACCTTAAGTTAACTTTTAAACTCACCCACCTTCTTTGCAATAAAAAATATTTGAAATCAAAATACAGTGTAAAAAGTAAAGACTTCATAACAAGAAAAAGTATAACTTCAAGATTGATACTAACCACTGAATTAGGAGCCTCATTGTTTCTTTTCTTCGGCAATAAGGTACCACCATTACTCCATTTTTCTGACGTAGTCGCTGGCAACTTTTTGAATAAATTTTCTTCGAGTGCCTGCAGATCAGAGGAATTACTAGCACAGTTTGTCTCTTCTTCCTGAATAGCTGACAAAGTTTCTCCTTTAGACTTGCTAAAATTCCCACTAATCATAGATAACTCCATAGGATCCAGAACACCTGACAAAAGAAAAGGAAGAATAATTGATTGAATTAAATTTTTCCCAAAAAGGAGGGAAAAGAAAACTTAAACCAATTTGAACCCCCCAAAAAAAAAAAAATAAACACACACACACACACACAAAACCTTCTTCAGTAAAGAAAGCCCGGTCCCATGCCAAGCTCTTCCGTAAATTGTACCCGCCACCTTTCTTCTTCCTCTTCATTTGTTGAGGCTCAATACTGAGTTTCAGCATTTCTGCTTTGTCCACATTAAAATTCTCTTTATTCACACCATCCCTATAGAATGAATGCTTTGTATCTTCTAAACCCTCATTCCCCGCAGTAGCTCCTGTTCCAGGATGATCAGATGGATTAGCAAACGCTACTTTTTCTTCTTTCACACAGTATCCATGTTTATAGAAGCTTTGATTTCATTTTCATATTTGTAGTTTGAAAGTGGCAAAAAATTTAATTCATGTCGAAACATTAAACAAACACATCATCAATAGTGCAAATGAGCTCTATTGCTTACAGTAACAATAGAAACCTTCAATTATTTATCACATAACATGGTTCAAAATCGATTCACTAGTACGTCCAACTATAGTTACTGTATTTCAATAGCGTGTCCAACTGTCGTGGTGAATTTCACTTAGAACAGATTAAAAAATAAATAAATAAATAATAAGGAAATATCAAAATGTTCTCAACGTTTATGCAGGATATGATTTTAAAAAAATAAAATAAAAAATAAACTTATGCTTTGAAGTAGTTGTCACTTATAATCTTTACTAGTATGGTGGACGTGCCTCAAGCACGTTCCAAAATCCAAATTAGTGAGAAAAAATATTTCTTACTTTGCATGAAATTAATCATACTAAATCAATTTAGAAAGGAGGTGCAATAGAGGACTATGGGGAAAAAATGTTTTAAGTAAGAACATATTTGAAATAAATTATATTAAAAGGTAAATTAGATAGAAAAGTTATTTTCATTGAGAAACAGTTAAAAACATGAGATTTATAATGCAAAAATATATTCTCCCTTTACTAGAAAAGGGAAAAAAAAAAAATACCACCTCCCTCCCAGTTAAACCTCTTATCCTTTCTAGATAAGCTATAGATATTGTTGTTATCGGTTTAAGAATTGTTGTCTTTGTTCTCGAACTGGCGCTTTGAAGGGTCTTTCAGTCTTATATAGCTGTCGTTTACAACGTTATTTATCGTCTTTTTAAAGATTGTCGTTTTTTCATTCGTTGTCGTCATTATATCACCATTTCTACGAAGAAATGGCACTTAAATCATTTGAACAAGATAAAACCGAAATCGTAAGAAACTAGCCCTATTTTACTACTCGAAATTGATGAATCCGCCGAATCAGGAACTAAAATCGAATCCGAATAAAAAAAATGCACGGTGCGAATTGAAACCATTAGAGGTCAGACTAAGCAACATTCCATTCAATTTCTCATTTCAAAATCAAAAATCGAAAAGCAAAGGCGAAAACCTAACCAATTGGCTTGGCGTTGGGCCTGGGGACTTGCAGAGGAGAGCACAGGAAGTAGTCGCCGGCGCCGAAGTTGCGATTGGTGTTGAGATTCGAAATGCCGTCGCCGGGGATCTGCTGAAGTAGAGAATCATCATCGCCGGCGATTTCGATGAGCGACAGATCGGAGTCCATTCTCTCTCTCTCTCTATCTCTCTCTTAGTGTTCCTAATTTCTAGAAAGATCTAATGGAAGTTTAAACAGTTTAAAGTGCGAATCTTGGTATTGAAAAGCATTGGTTGAATTTTGATGCTTGATTTTGGAGTGGTAACTCTTCGACCTTGAGACTCAACTGTGGGTGTGCGTGCGCTGATTTTTGAAAGCATTGGCGAGCGGAAGCGATGGATCTGTTATTGAAATTTGAAAGTCAGGTGCTACTCGTACAATTACTTTATTGCCCATATTAGACTTCCAAAAGTACAAACAAGTATTTTCCCTCCTTTTTGTTTCCTGCTTAAAATCATTTCCCAAAACAACGTTTGAATTTATTTTGTTAATTCTCTAAATATTAACAGAAAAATTAAAGATTATAATGTTTTGTTATTATTATGATATTTCAAAATAATTTTCATATTTCAATTTCATTATTTTAAATATATCATGTAGTGAAGTTCTTTTTGTTACAATGTTTATGTCACATTACTAAATTAATTGTCAATACATATAACGACTTTCATAACCTCATTTTTTAAATGTCCAAGTTCCAATGCTACATTAATTGTCAAATGACTTTTGTACCCTCATTAAAAACAATCCACCTACTTAAATTTTAATTTTTGACTCTTGAGAAATAGAGTTATTAGCACTATATCCCTGAACTCTTCCAATTTGGCATTTTTAATCCTAAATTTTATTTTATTTTTTTTGTAATTTAAACCTTAAACTATTTTAATTTAGCACTTCTGAACTTTATTTTTAGCATTTTAAACCTTGAACTCTCACAATTTGAAACGTTCAACCCTGATTTTTATGTTTTGATTATATTTTAGAAATGGTTTATTATTTTCAACTTTTTATTATAATTAGTATATTATATAATTCATATATTAATTATTGCTTATTTATTTAATAATATATTATTTGTTATTCCATTATTAATATATTATATAACCAATTTTTGTCAATTAATTTTTAACTAAAAAAACTAATCACTATTTATTTTCTATTTTCCATTTTCTATTTTTTATTAATAAATTACAAACTTAATAATAGAAACTAATATATATTTTTTAGGTGAGATTGGTTTTCCTGGTTATTTTTAATAATGTTTCTTCATATCTTTTGAGGTAAAAAACAAAAATGATCTACAAACTACGATAAGTAATAAATTGTAATTAGTTTTTTATTATTAAATTTGTAATTTATTAATAAAATAAAAATAGAAAAATAAATAGTCATTAGTCATTTAGTTAAAAATTAATTAGCAAAAATTGGTTATATAATATATTAATAATGGAACAACAAATAATATATTATTTAATAAATAAGTAATAATTAATATATGAATTATATAATATACTAATCTAGCAATACATAAAAGAGCAAAAACTCTTTTCTACAGGCAGCCTTTACACTTACTTTTTTTTTTTTTTACCTTCTTTATTTTTTTATGAATTTTTGTGTGTGTTTTTTAAAAATATATTGTTCTCCACTTTACTCCTATGAGAGTAATTTTTTCCCATATGTTCCTATTTTATTTTCAATTGGTTAAAATAATTTCCTTTAAATGTGTTCCTACCTTTTTTTTGGTCAATTGTGATCTTTACACATATTCCTTTTTAAAATAAATTTAAAAATCCTTAAATGGTTGTATAAATGAATTTCTTATTATTCGGTAAACAATAAATTCTTTAGGTATCTCTAAAACGCTAATACGTGCGAAGCACAGTGCAAAACTAGTTATAATAAAAAGTTAAAAATAATAAACCATTTCCAAAAAATAAAAATCAGGGTTGAAAGTGCCAAATTGTGAGAGTTAGGGTAACTGTCCAAACTAAAGTTCTGGGTTGAAAGTACCAAATTAGGCTAGTTCAAAGTTTAAATTACCAAAAAATAAAGTTTAGAATTGAAATGTCAAATTGAAAGAGTTCAGGGGGTATAGTGCCAATAATCCCGAGAAATACTTAATGTCTCTCTTTACCTTTTAAACTTTTAAACGTCACACTATTGACACCTGAATTTTACAAGTTGCACTATCAACCCTACTGTGACAAAATCATTAAAAATGGACGGAGTAAATGTGTGAGGCGCACAAGATGCGGCTGAAGTTGTTAAAAATGCCATTGATAATCCATTTTGGCCTAATTTCAGGCAAAATCCCCAAGTCCCCAAATTGCATTGTTCAGGGAAGAAAGAGAACAGTCTAATTTTTTTTTCTCCACAACACTGTCAAGAACTTATACCGGAACAACGATTTGAGGGATGCAATCAGTCGGACTTCATCTAGTTACAACTGATCTACTTCTCCCATCAAAACTGAAAAGAAAAAAAAAATTATGTAGCACAAAACATTCCTGAACGAGAGGAAGTAAAAATACCTATTTCATTTGACTCCAAGAATTGTGGCATTATGGTGTTTTTTTTTAAAAAGTAAAATTTATTGACGTAATAGAACAGTAAGGAAATTTTATTTTAGTTTGACGTTGACAAGTTAGGCCCATTCATTTTATCGATTTAAATTTTCAGTTCTAAATTTTTATAGTTAAAAGCTCTCAAAAAATGTCACATATAACTTTGTTTAAAAGCTCTCAAAAAAATGTCATAATGTCAACTCGAGTTGAAAACTCAAATCCGCGAAGCGAGCAATGCCTTAATCATCTGAGCTACGTTTTCGTCTTTTTTTCCTCCTTATTTGTAAAACATGACCAAAATTTAAGCCAATGATAATTTCCAATCCAAGAACCAAGACTTGCCTTTATATAACTACTAGGTACATACGAAAGCCCTTTGTGTTCTTGTTTACTAACAAGTTACTTATATCTAGGTAATGTTACACTCTCTAATATTTTCTGCCGAATCCTCTTCAAGAGAAGCATTGCCATCCGAGGATCCTATAACAGAAGGACCTCCATTTTCTTCATCACTACTCTCAATATCAGCTCTGCTGTATCTCCTTTCAACAAATGCCATGGCTTGCCGTCGCTGCAGGCGCAATACGTGCATTATCACATCAGGTGTGAGAATCACACGCGCTTGATCCTCTCTTCCCCGCTTATTGGACTCCATAACCTGTATTCAGACAAAATATTAAGGGAACAAAACGAAGTCATATTTGAGACACCAGAATAATGTTAGGAATCCCAACTTTTCAATAATGACTGGCGTGAATATGAGTTGTCATTCTTTTATTAATTAATGTTTCAAAAAATATCACGTCAATTAACATTAAAAGCGTTGAATTTTCCAATAGAAAAATGACATACATTGCCACGTGAGTTGGTATTAAAGGGTGGGATACCTAGCACTCGCTTAGTAGTGTACCTTTTCTACATTGGTTGGAAGTGGAGGAGCATCAGTTGGCGTAGGAGCCCATATTTTAACACTGCTTTCGATCCCACATGTTGCAAAAATGGGCATATGGGGATGGGGCTCGAGTTGGTTCACAACACGGCGGTCGCCTATCATTAGGCGTATGAGCTTACCTCCCTTCTTCCTCCAAACAAATATATGGCCACAGTCAGATCCGCTCAAGACGTATTCATCACCTGGGCCAAAGAAACTCACACCTTTAACTGTTTGTGCATTCCTATGACCCTGGTAAACTTGTGGCTCCTCTAATTCTTGAGTATCCTCAAATGAGGCAGAAGGCGGTGTTGGGCCCAATCCCATATTCTTTTGGAACAGATAAATGTGCTCATCATTGTAAGAGACGAGTAGTTCACTCGTGCAAGAGTAAGCCAAGCCTGTGATATGAACATTGTTGGCCTCGATCAGGTGACGAGGGCAGAATGTATTAACCGGTTTATCCAAATTGCTTGACGCATCCCGCCAGCATTTTCGTATATCATACACAAGAGCAAACTCATCATCACCTCCTACAGCCAAGTAATGTGGATTTCTCGGGTCTATTACAATGGCATTCAAACTTATGTTGTTTCCAAGCTGCTGACCGGTTTCTGTCAATGAAGTGCAACACAAAAGCTTTGTAGCAAAATTACTTCGCAGATCAAACTGCACAAGAAAAAGTTAACTCTGAAGCTGGAAAAAAAAAAAACATAGTTTCTATATAAGGAGCACATAAAGATGTTTGCATACATGTTGAACAAAACCATCTTCACCACAACTGTAAAATATATTGGAACTTCCTGGCTCTACAGCAAGCTTGAACACACGGCCTTGGTGCCTCCCCAACCTTTTTGTATCCACTTGACCATCCTCCGAAATCTGACCGAGCCTTATCTATATAGAAAAAATACCATAAATCGAGGGTAAACTATCAGTATCTCACTCTTATAAGTGACTTGTTATGTATGAGTTAAACTGACTTGTCTCAACAACTGAAACCAGCCCATCAACGTTTAAGGCAACAGAAACAGAAATGAATATGCCAAAAAAATTGTCACAATCAGATACCTTAAACCAAACAAAATGAACAAACACTCATGAGATACAACATTTGGTGCAAGCATTTTCTCAAGTAAAATACAAAAATCGAGAGCCCGCGAACGATTCCAAGTAACCTAAGAATACACAAAGATGTTTACTGCAGTCGTATATAATATTCACAAAGACACAAAAATGAACATCAAAGAAATTTACAAAGAAATTGGTAAAAGTTCACCTGGCCATCTCCAGAAGAAGTAACTATTTTACGATCATCAGAAAAAGGCATGATTTTGGCTTGGAAAATGTTGTCAGAATGGCCAGAAGGATAAGATAATCTTCTAGTTTTAGTTGCCCAATCCCAAAACAAAACTTGTCGATCATCAGAACCAGACACAAGGAGATCACCGCTGGAGTTGAATTCTACTGTATTCACGCACCCCTTGTGACCATTTAACTTCCCACAAAGATTTATTCTCTTCACAATAACCTGCAAAAACAACATGAAACAATTCCAGTATTTCAAATTTACAGCACCCAATTTCCCATTGATTATTGTAAACAGGATTTGCAGAGTCACTAGTACGATGAAATTAATCTGATCGATTTTTTCATTTTTTTTATTATTATTATTATTTTTTTTTTTGAGGATGTGATTGAATAACATTAGGAACAGCGAAATTAAGATATTTTCACAACAACAAAGGAAAATACCAAAAATAACACTATTATTACATTTCAATTTTGCCTTGACTTATTTACATCAAATGAATGAAATAAATAAAGAGAACCCAGGTGAGAAATAATAAATAAAAAAAAAGGAAAATAATTTAAGACCTCGGAAGCAGAGAAGCGGCGAGCGAAGCATCTGGGGCGAGATAAACCTGTCTCTCTGCCGAAAATCTCCGCAAACGCATCGATGGTGCCCATTTGTGGAATTCCACTGAGAGTGTTTTCAGAACTGAAATTTTCTTTTCAGAGAGAGAGAGAGACGTCAAGTACTGTTCCTGAAGAGCCCAGGACAAAGGCGATTCAGCCACGTAGACCTATTAGACTTTGGGCGGCTGTTTGGTTGCAGGACTGGGACAAGAATAGGACGGAATGGGAATCAGAATAATAAGAGCCGAGGATTCACATTTCTCCTAGTAAAACATTTAGGAGACGCTTAGTTTATGAATTAGAATCATGTGATTAGAGTTATTTTTAATTTATATGTATTTTTTATGAGATAAAATATTATAATAAATCATGAATTATAATTCAAATCATAGTTTGAATCCTCCAACTAAACATCCTCTTATTACAACTGGAACTAGGATATACGCAAGAGGCAAATGGCCTTTTTTAACATTTTTTTTTTAAAAAGCCAATTTTTTGTAAAATTAACTAAATGACTAGTGTATCACTGATTAACTTAGCAGTTAATTATTAATTAATTTAATTTTATCACTGATTTATTTGATAATTTTTTATTATTAATTAATATCAATTAACAATAACCAAAATCAATTTCAATTAATAAATTACATGTTTATTTTTTGAAGGGACAAATTACGTGTTTATTAATAATAAATTATTAGTAAATTATAATAATGAATCGGTCAATTAATAATTGATCATCAGTCAGTGACTGATTACTGGAGAAAAAGCCATTTTGTTAAAATACAAAAAAGTTATGTCATTTGTCTAAAAAATAAAAAATTCAGCCATTTATTAAAAAAAGTGGTCAAAAAACAGTCATTAACTTAATTTTCCCACGCACTAATTTATAATTATAATTACTATAATTTCAAAAAGAGAGAATTACTGGGAAAAGAAAAAAAAAACTATTTAATCTCAGATTACTCAAATCTAATGTTAATGCAAGGACTTTTATAGAAAATAAAAACAGGGGAATTTGGAGCGTTTGTTTTTTTTTGGCTGAGAAATGAGTATTCGTTCAACAGAAACAATTCAGGGGAAGTTACCTCCTGAGCAGAGGCAAACTAAAACATAGGAATTGGAGCATTTACACATGAGTGTGAAGGCTTTGCCATGGTTGCCAATATAGCCTCCTAAATCATTGGATGCTCTCATCAACCCGAAGCATTGGTGCTTGCCAAAAGTTTCAAATGGCTTGTAACTAGTTTCTGGAGACAGATGTTCTAGAGCTTATTCAGACTTTGTATTCTACTTCCTCTATCCTCTCTCTTCTGAGTTTGGAAGCCTTGTATCAAATGTCTTCTCTCTCTCTCTCTCTCTTTTTCTCTCTAGTTTACTATTACTATACGCCCGAAACTGCACTCGAAATTGGCAAATTGCTAATAATGCAACATAGATTAGAAGAAGATAGTATGGCAGTAGCATAACATCTTTCCACCAATGATTGTATCTATTGTATTGACCGATTTCTTATTTAATGAGACATAATTCCATTCCCTCTATGAACACAAATCCCTACAAAATCCATAATGCATGGTGCGTTTGTGTGTGTGAACGTAAACCTATAAATTTTCCTCCCCAATGAACTGCCGTATGTACCTTATGATTCCCAGCTCCTCTTTACAAGTTGCCCTCCCCTTTTCCACATAGAACAAAAAAAATAAAAAGGGAAGCTTACCCTAAACCCTCCAATATACCAATGCATCAAAGAATAACGAACCGGGATGTTACATTTCCAAGTCAAAATCGGAGCATAATTATGTTAATAACATAAAGCAGGCTTTCCTTCAAGAAGCCAAAATGGGTGGCTCGATCGCATTTCGTACTTCGAAAGGTTCCGGCCTTCTCAGCTATTGCCAAGCAATATGATGTAGCTATTGTAACATGTATGTTAATCCTCATCCTCAGCCAAGGTGGCAAAAGAGAAAGGTTTGAACTTGTAGCCATCACCATGGTAGAACTTGTTTTGAAATTCCACCCAATGAAGACGCAAGGCGTGAAGAAAAGCACTTAATGTTTCCATCATGAGCAGTATGAAAGCAGTTGCAAAGGCAAAAACTGCTAATCCAACTAACCGGATAGCAAAGTTCTCATACCTGTTGTAATCACGGGTAATTGCAAAATTAATGATAAACGCATACGCAGTATTATATGATAAAGGAGGATTGCATTTTTTTTTCCTACGCATGTTATTGTTCTCTTCTCAATTTATTTTTATTTAAAGGTTTTGCAAAATGTCCCTATCACAATCTAATACTATAAAAGTTTCTTCAATCAGCTTCATTTTGGAACTTCAAAGTTGAACGTATAGAAGAATTGTAGGTGCCAACAATAGATGAAAAAGAGTAAAAAGAGAGAGCACTATTGAGAGAAAGAGAATAGTGATTGCAGAAGTCAAACTAACGAAGACATTGAACTGGAATTGAAACTCACCCCCAGGCAAGGAGAAGGACTTTCTCGTAGAACACAGTTGAGAGTTCTGAGTGAGCCAAGCTACAATACAAGTAACAGAAGTCAACTGAGCAGTTAAAAATGAGACAATAAAAGCATAAAGGATCTGAGATGAAAATAACATTTATACCTTAAAGCCCAAAGTCGAAGATATGACGCTGTATTAGAAACTGCACCAAGAACGAACTCGATTGAGTGTATCATCTGGTGCACAAATATTTCACTAAAGTTAAACTCCTCATGTTGTTGCCTTGCAGAATCAGGTTCCACATCGAGATCCATCTCTGAGGTACCAAGAATGCCATAGGTGCGACCTTGGAATCTCTGGAAGTAACATCGAGAAAACAAGATTTAAATTGTTACATCTTTCCCAGCACAAGAATTTTTTATCACTTCAAAGCTAAGAGTGACACAGAAAATTAAGGGTGTGTTCGGCTGCCTAAAAAACTCAAAAAAAAGTAATTCGAGTTCTAACTTTATTCAAGTTCATGTTCTTTTAAGTTTGAACTCGAGTTTGGGACTAAAACTCGAGTTCAAGTGTCCCCTTCAACTTGAGTTCAGAAACTCGAACTCAAATTAATGAACAGTATTTTTTCTATTCTTAAAAATGCTATAACTTTTTCGTTTTAATCCTGATTGAGATAATTTTTTTTTTCTATGCGTTGACAACGAAAAGACGAACAAAACATCACCCATATACCCTATTAAAATTTTTCATCACCATTGAATTTTTATTAAAATACTATCTAAATACAAATTTAAGTTTTAACTCACTCAAACACAAACTCGAAAAAAGATTATTATCTCAAACTATAACTCAAATGTACACAACCAAACACAAACTCAAGTTATAACTCAAATTCAACTCAAAAACTACACTCAAGTCACACTCTACAAGAACAGGCCCTAAAATATCCTTCAGTAAGATTTTTAGCCCTGGCATAGACACATTCGTGATTGAAGAAGAAAGTCACAGCCAAATTTGCAGGTGATTTATACCCTTAATGAGATTCTTAGAAGTTAAATGCGTTATTCAACATGAATGCTGGCAACTTAGAACTTGATACCTCCGTGTGAAGCTTCTTCAAAATAAAAGGTTTCGGAAAAAGCATCCACGGAACTGCAATTAGAGCCAAAAGCAACAATACAATCTGCAAGATTGGAGCTTATTAGCCATAAACGTCATAATAAAATAAAAATAAAAACATAGAAACAATAGGAAAAAGAGTTTAGATGATGCCTGAAGCGGTCTTTGGCCCCAGAACAACTGATTTTCACCAAGATCGTCAGTGGGACTCAGAAACATATAAATCATCACATGATAGAGGTCTGCTTGAGATCCGGTACACCACTTGATGATGATGAGAAGTGAAAGATACCCAAACAGACTGTTAAGAAAGATCATCTGTGGCACAAACTGGTACCTACCAACATGATTCAGATGAGTTAAAAACCTTTTTCACCCACCCTTGGAAGAGAGGTTTGTCTGACAATCTGAGGGAGAAGGAAAAAAAAAAGTACGAAAAATAGACACACCTTATATCAATTGAGCTGCGAAAAAAACATGCGTTGAAGTAACTAATAACGATTCCCAAGTTCATTTGGGCTACACCCAACAGAATGGACATCTTCATCTTGAGAGAATTCAAGAATGGCAGTTCTGAACGACTTCCACGCCAACTAGGGTCCACACCGAATGGGTATGGGTCTCGGAATTTGACTAAGCCAGCAGTGTGTGCATCACTGCTCAAAATGAACAAAAAAAAATATGCTGATAAAAACATAAACATCGCTAAAGATTCATTTTTATTTTAAGAAAAATAAACCAATTTGCAAAGTTATGTAGTCATGCAATAGGGAGGAAATACATGCATAAGCACATACAGAAAGGCACAAACAATTTTCTTTTCTTTTTTTTTTTTTTTTTGGCTGGGAACCATTTCACAGATCCAATAAATGAGAATAAAAGTCAGCATAAATCAAGAATAAGAAATTTGGATAAAATTGTCTTTAGATTAATGAATGGACATCTAAACAGACATTCCTGCTAAAAAAGTTGAAAAAGGCCTAACCAACATGAGAACCAAAAAATATCACATAAGAGGTTGATCAGGAATGTTTAGTTAACAAGTACGCCCAAAAGAACAAAAAAGAAAAATAAATTTTCTGAAAAGGGAGATAACAAATTACCTGCAAGTAGCATCTCTGCATTTGTAAGCAGACCCACCAAATATGTGATAAGGAACAGAGAAGAATTCGTTGTAAATCAACCCACAGTAAATTGAAAATAGTGACATCAAAAGAAGTATATAGCGTCCACCGAATAGCATCTCCATCATACTCCCAAGTTTCTGAGATGAACAAATCTAAAAGTTAGATACCAATACAGGAGGAAAATAGAATTTGTCTTGCATATGCATTTAATGCATTTTATCCAAAAAAATTATCAACACCTTTTGGTGAAAGTATGATATTCTTATGAAGTGATCCTATAATATTCCTCAGATACCAAAAATAAAATAAAATAAAATAAAAAATAGAAAAAATAAAAAGAGGACCACAATCATCAAGTCCTTGTTCTTGTCTTTTCAAATCAACAGCTTGATCCAGGTCTCACATCATTTTCAGCTAAAGCTACCGGTCTAATAAGTTGTTTCGATGATTCATTTTACTCAAAGCTAAATCTTCTGCCCCTAATCTAGCAAAGTATGAAGTTCTAGTGACGTTTTATCTCCACCAGGATTCTATAAGTCCTTTTTTTTTTTGCCAGTTAGACGTTTTCCCCATAAAAAGAACTGACTCAGCTCAAAAACAAATATCGAGCTGCTTCAAAGACCCATAATTGAACTCCCACTTCTACTATTATATTACTCAGATCTTAATTTTTAAGGCTACACCATAGATAAAACTCTTCGAGAAACTAGGTGTGTAGAATAATTAGTGATCAGAGGTCAGTGGTAGCAGTGAAGGGTTAGAAAAACTTTTATATTTTGGGGCTCTTGCAATCTAGCTTCTGGAACATAGTTGTGACCTTTCAAGAAAAAATTAGAGACAAAACTCTTTTTTCTTTTTTCTTTTTTTGGGCCTACCTTACCAAGCCAACACATAAAATTGTGGAAAATATCAAACACGCTGCAGCAACTTTTAGAAGAAAGTTTTGACTGGAGAAATATGATTCACATTACTGGTAAAGCATGATTCCTACTGAGACGGCACTCTCTTAAAACTGTTGTGCAAGCAATTGGTAGAAAATCCGCACCTGAGTACTGAGCTTACTTTCACGAGCTATAAGGACTAACGCTCCCAGCAACAAGCATATGCCATGACCCCAATCCCCAAACATCACCGCAAAAAGAAATGGAAATGTGATAACAGTGAATACTGCAGGATTTGCTTCTTGATATCTAGCAACACTGCAAAATAAAATGCTTTGTCAGCTTCTGATCAGCTAAACTGTTTAATTTAACTGTTAGTTCAATTTCAATTTTTCCACTTATGCTTTCCTATAACACATGTTATTGCGACAGAGGCGCATCTACCATTTTTCCTTCCTTTTGTAAATGTTAAAATAAAATTGCAACAGAAAGGGAGAAAGAGAAAGGGCAGAAGATAATGAAGAAAAGGATTCTAACTCAAGACAACATCTAAAAATAGCAAGGTTGAGGAGGGTCAGAGGAAAAGGAGGGCGGCAAAATAAGTAAAAAAGATGTCAATGAGAAATGGCTACTAGAAGCACGGATGGAAGATTCCATCATCAATTTACCTTCTCATTAAAGATGTTAACAAACAATTGACAAAAAAAAAAAAAAGGATTCGTACGATACCATTAGTTTGCTTTTACAAAGTTGCCATGGGAATTATCTTAGAGTCAGCACTCCCCATACTTTCAATCTTTCAAATTATTGCAACATGATCCATTTTACGAGGAAAATGCTAAAGATCAACATCGGTAATAGCCATCTCATGGTTTTAGTCCATACTCCATAATAGCATTAGGGTGACATGCTAATTATGATTGGTCTGGATCCTGTTAAAATATAAAAATTATAGTTGGCTCATCTCCTAACAGCTTAACTTTTGGAAACTTGGTATCAAAACAGGAGGTCCTGAGTTTAAATCCCCAAGAAGCTTTTGGGAGACTTAGTACTAACAGTTCCAAGTGGTGACGAACCTCACCAATTATGAATTGCTCGAGTCTCTAGCAAATTGGCACTCTTATACTTTTTTCTTTATCTCTATATACTCAAATTCAACTGGAGGAACTATGAAATTCATGCACGACGTTAGGCAACCTACTTTTAAAAACTTTTATTAATTAACAAATCAATTAAGTTTTTCTATACCAAACTATCTTTTTTGTATAATACCAGAAAAAAAAAAAAAAAAAAAAAAAAAACCCACCCCTGAATCTTGCTACCCTTATCTGAACTTTACATTTTTAAGACCAAATTAGTATTGTCTTCTTAGGTGGGTTGAAGCTGACACAACTTAATTATTAAATCTCAAAACTAAACAAAAAAGTAAAACGCCTATCTATTCGCGTGCCAAGAAATGCAACAGAATGTGGCTAACAAGACTAAAATTTTTGGGGAATGTCAGTAGGCACGACTTTCAAGATCTAGGGCTTCATGAGGGTCTCGTGTTTAATAGAGCAGACTGGAAACGAGAAATCCATATAGCCGACCCCAATTAATTTGAGATTAAGGCTTGTATCTGTTGTTGTTGTTGTTGTCAGTAGTGCTATTTAACTTACCCATACGCATCAACAATTTCCTGAAAAGCACCTGTGAAAGAGTTGGTTCTAAAATATGTAGGAGGTGATTCTGTAGCGTCCATTTCATGAAATATTATGCCCACTTGTGAACTGCTATCAAATGTTGCACGTTGCAGTATCTCCTGAATCTGCATAAGAGAAATCAATAAAAGTAGTATTAACTTTTGAGAAGGTCCTCAACAGTTTTATAATATTGAACACATATTATGTAAATATAAAGGTAACTGCAGTACCAAAAAAAAGAGTGGGGATTTTAGAAGAGAAAAAATAATAATAAAAACAGCAGGAGAAATTACCTGAGTTCTTGCAAAAATTGGGCACCATCCCTCTCCAACAAGACATTTCTTCGTAACATCAAAATTTAGCATATTTAGTGTATCAAAGACAGCTTTCTCCTTTCTTACCTGTGTAAAAGTAGGAAACAAGATACTATTTAACTGTACCTTCGTAGAGCAAAATCAGATCCATGTTAGTTCAAATGACAAGAGAGACAAAAAAGCAAGATGATACCATCTTCATCCATTTTGCTAGATGGAAACTTATGGAAGTAAGGGCCTTATTCCGGTGCCGAATCCCTGCATCTAAAGTTGTTTCCAGTTCTACTAGGCGTGATGATACCTGGAAGAAATAAATATTAAAAAAAAGAAGAGAATAGAGGTAGAAAAAGCATCCTAACGCTAAACCAGGTTTTCAGTATTAACTGCACCAATAAGTTATGCGACCAAAGCAAGAAATATTTTAAGCTTGGAACCCATATTTGAGTTCAAGAAAGTCAGTCAAATCCTCAACTGCAAACTTACTTCTCTAGTTATTTGCCTCTGCTTGGTAACATCTTCAGGCACAGGATAACAACTTGCTCCAAATGCTTCACAAATTTTAAGAATCTTTGTTCTTGCCTGCTCTCCAGAGAAAAACACTACAAATGCCATTTTTTCAACCTGCAAAGTTTTCTTGAAACTCTTAAAGGAATGACTAAAGTGCTGCTTATTTCGAAAAACCAAAAAGAAAAAGAGGAAAAAAAAAACAACGAAGTGCAGGAACACAAAAGGCAACAAGCAAACTAAGGGTAAAGATAAAGAAAGCATTCACATTTTGCGGAGGAAAGAACAAAAATTCAAAGATAATAAGAGCATTGAGGCATAAAAACCATTTCAGTAGATAAGGGATCCATGATCTGTTCATCAGCTGGTGCCTGGTTGAAAAGCATGTTCCCCCTTGTAGCACGAAACAACATCCTCTCAAATCTAAGCACTTTAGACTTGCAAATTATCCCACTAATAAATCTCAAGCTAGATTGATCTGAGCGTCCAGGCCTCATCTCCTATAAATAAGTAGGAAAAGTGAAACCATGGTAATTAGACTAGTAAAAAAAAATGAACGTAACAAGGGATAGTGAAGGAGTACCTGTTCAAGCAAAGACGCTGTCTCAATATAATTATCGTTAGAGTAGATGTTCTCATCTAATTCTCTTTCCTCCGAAACTGAATGAGTTTTATTTGATACAAGAAAGCCACCTGCCTGATGTAACCACGAAAATTACACACATAAGAAGGCGGAGAAAAATAATCTTTATTGAGATCAATTTAAACCACTACTCCAAATAAAAGATAAATGTAATGCGGATGAAATGCTGCAAAAAGTAGCTCCATAAAGACAAATGCAGAAATAGAAATAAACAACTAGTTTTTCCATCAACCAACAATTGCTACTAAAATAAGAAGCAATACTCTTTCTTTATTTGAATTGTAAGCCTGAAACTGAAAACTTATCAAAAATTACCCTGCCACACCGATTACCATTAGAGCCAAGGCCTAAGGTGTGCCTAAACAGTTCAATAGTCCCTTACATTTTCTAAACATAAGACATAAAGATGTATGCCAAAATGTATGCAGCCTAATGCTATTACTCGAATCATGTATAAGTGAAGTTAGCAACCAGGATTTTGACTACTAAAGCTAAAAAAAAATACTGGGTTTGAGCCAAATCACATGCTAAGCTTTGTTTATTCAAGCCTACACACAAAGACATAAACATAGATACACGTAGCCTGCCAAAGAAAATTTTAAAACAACTGCATACATAATATGTACCTCCTTGGCAAGACAGAAAGTTGCTTTTAGGAGTGTAGTAATTGGCCTATTTTTAAGAAGAGCTTTGAGTTTATACTTTAGAAGTGGTTTGAGCCAACGTTGATAGAATATGGCTTCCTCAGAAAACTCACCAAACTATACATGAAATGTTGTAGACTTTAATCGCTTTCATAATCCCTTCTTTACTTATTTTGTTTCTCAACAAGAAAGCAAATGTCAATTCCATTCCATTAAGCTCTTTTTAAAATATGACCTTTCCCTATAATATTTTCTTCTTTTCTTCTACCGCTGTCCTAAAAGTAGACCTAAAAGAACAAGAACCAATACTAGAAGGGAAAAGGCCAAAATCAAGTACCTTTTGCAATACCATCTTGAACTCCAAGAGCTCATTATATGATTGTCGTAGTTTCTCACTATTCGAATTCATTTCATTTAGCTCGTGTTCATGTTCAGCAAGTTGTATCTGGGATTAAGAGAAAACAAAGGGAAAAATAGAATTAAGTAAATATGCACAATACAATGTTTCTAAAATTTACTCCATGGAACAGAAATTACACAGTTTAGTTTTACTGATAGGCTCAACTATACATTGAACACAATACCAAGTGAAAGCCAAAGAAAGGAGAACAGAATAGAAAGTTGTCGGCAAAAGGAAAGCAGGAACACAGAAATGGACCTCTAGTTCCTCCAACTCCAGATCTGGTTGCATAACAAGACGTGTAGAGGCAATTAGACCGGCTTTACTGATTTGCTCTTTGAAGAAACGTAGCTTTCTTGACATCTCTGCACATCGCTTTACCTGTGGAGAACCACAGGAAATGATACAACCAGATAAATACATATTTGATTACCCTCAGTCAATATCACTCTCAACTATGAAATGGTATGCCAACAGCAACAAAAGGATGGGAGCCGGAGGGCCATATTCACAACACTTGAGAGAGACAATATTTTCATGAACATTGTGGTAAAAACCAAGGGCAGGGCAGGGGTTCATACAAAGTCAAGTTTTGCTTATGAGCAAAACTGGGATACTTAATCTTCTTGGTCAATATTTTAGCAGTGATGAGAGAATGCATAAATGGATGGACATATCAAGTGTAACACACTGTGAAGAGAAATACCAAAACACCAAGCAGTACCATTAATAATACAAGGACATAACCAAAGTCTCCACAATTGGATGTAGCTAAAAATTATAACTAAACTTGCCAAAGTTTCCAATTATTAGTCACAAAAGATGTCGAATTTCAAGTAATTCAGTCTGTAATGGTAGTCCTGATTGGATCCAAGTAGAAACCTATTCCCGCCACCCCCAACAAAGCGGAAAAAAAGAGTAGATACCTGATTAACAAATGTCCGTTGGAAAGGGCTTTTATCAAAATTCATCTGTGAAGAAAAATAAGATAACCATGAGCACAACGAGAAGTATTTTCTCAAGGAAAAGAAAAAATGTTGATCATTCCTTTCAGAAGTCCATATGTACTATATTATTTGCAAGGAAAAGAAAATCAAGTAGAAATGCACCCGAAAGTATGGGATTTTGTTTAGTGGGTAATATTAGTTCACAATTATCATTGATCACATAAACAAAATACAGTGATAATCACAAGTTAGCAACCTTGTTTTATGGGTAATGAAGAGTTCAAACCTTAATCTACAAACAAATGAGCTTAATCCCCTCGTAAAATTTCAGATACACGTTATCTAATCCCCCCACACCAAAGCTTATAGCGTAACTTGGTTAATATTTTGACAATTTGGGAGCCAGATTAAAGGAAGCTAGTGACATGTCTCTGCAGCCATAACTTAGCATCAAATAGCATGAAGCTTATTCCCAATTTCAAGTCATCTCCATTTTAATGACCAGTACAAATTCAGGGAAAGAAAATACTAAGAGGTTGTTTGGTTGGGGGATTCGTACCCCGATTCGAATCATGATTCATGATTTGCTACAGTATTTTCTCTCAAAAAAATACACATAAATCGAAAATGATTCTAATCCATGAACCAAACGTCTCCTAAGTTGAATCTAGGAACCCCCTCAATAAAAGATGTTTTAACATAATTTTACCCGCATAACGAGGTCCAAACCAACAAAACCTACTTGTGCTGACATGCAAGCACATGCACATAAATGTATAAAACTAGTTTACGTATATAATTCCAAGTAAAATGCCTCCAATTCAATTCAACACTAAAAACCAAAACTCCGCAGCAGTTCCCATTCGCAGAGAAATTTCAGTTGCGGAAACAAATTACTAATACAAAGCTAAAACTCTTTGAACAACTCTCAAACTTCCTCTTTTGCGATCAAAACCTACGAAACTTTGTATGAATAAAGCCGCATGCATTACTCGTCAATCAAAACATCGTAATTAACTCTGAAATCGAATCCTCACTTCGGTTTCTGCGTAATCGAAGCAACAAAACGAAGGAAAAACAAATGCTAAATCGGACAAAACTTGCGAAGAACCGCGACGGATCTAAAAAGGGAACTTACGTCTCGGAATTGCAAGAGCCCAAGTTCGCCGAGATACGAGACAGCACGGTGAGCCGATTCGACCGGAATGATGAGCTGGACGAAAGTCATCTTCTCCGAGCGCATCAGATCCATAGCCGGCAAGTTGTCGATGAAGTCGTCCATTTTCGCGGGAATCAAACGGAAGATGCTCGATTCGCTTTAGATCTAAAAAAAACCTTATTTCCAGATCTGAAAGTCCTCTCTCTCTCTCTCTCTCTCCTCTTTCTCTCTCTCTCTCTCTCTCTCTCTCTCTCTACGAGTGCGCGAAGGAGTGTGCGTTGGGTGTGTCCCTTGTCGATTTCATTTTTGGTTCTCTTTTTGTTATTTTCGGTTTTTATTGCACTTTGGCAACTGCCATTAGAATTCCGGAATTCGCATTATTCTTCCTTCTCATCAAAGTTCGAACGGGTTGGAGAAGTTGAAATTGAATATATATTTTTGGATTTTCTTTTTCCTTTTCCTATTTTTTTTTTCGTTTTGTCTGTGATATGGTAGACTTTTCTTCTTTTTTATTTATTTTTTTTTTTTGAAATTGGAAAACTTTCCTCTAGTCTTTGACACCTTTAACGTATAATGTAATTTGAAAGTAAGAGTGGTAATTTGTATTAGTTGGTTGTGTTTGTGTCAATTTAATTTATTAAAAAATATTAATTTAAATATGATATGATTATTAAATGTGTTAAAAATATTAATTTAAACATAATTTATTTATTAATTGTGTTAATCGTATCAACCCGTATAATTCGTTTAAATTAATATATTAAATAAATAATTAATATAATAATAATTTATTTAACACGGTTAAGATAAATTTAACATATTTATTAGTCAATTTATCTTTTCTTTTAAAAAAATTAATGAATTTTACCTACAAATATTGAATACATTATGACCCAAACTCATTATATTACAAATGATACATATAATTAATCGTATTAATTCGTGTCACGTAGGAGGTCAACTATAATTCAACTCATTTATTAAGTCTATCAACTCAATTATGACTTCAACTCATTTATAATAAACTTAAATCCGTTAACTTCGTATAAATTTTAAATCTTGTATCGCTATCAGAATTGTTGGCGCTAGTCATTAAGCCTTAAATTTTATTACAATGTTCAATATTCAAAGTGATTGAAATTTGATGAGCAACGACAAGTCACAAAACACGACATAACGTTTGACGTAAGAGATATGTGAGTGGAACGACGCCGTTCTCCAAAAGAAAGCATCAAAACTGCCCCTCCGAGTCCAACTCAACAGTGGCTGTGTGCGCGAGCGCCGTGGCAGTGAGTCTCGACGGAGCGAAGGCGTAGGATTTCGGAAGCTCTGATTCTGATCTTCCAAGCGCCAAAAATTTCGACCGGTCGGTAATAATTCTTATTCTTTACTTTTCAGATCATTCAAGAAACCAAACGAGGAGTTTTCTTTTGCTTCTTATATTTTTTAGAAATCCGAAGCAACACAACCAAGTATAATTCTGCAGAACTGAGCACTATCATAATAATTTTCTTGGAAACCAAACGATAACTAGTTTGTTAATTTTCTCGATGGGAAATTCATTCTTTTCTGCCGACCTTACTTCTTTTTTACTAACTTGCCCTTTTGTTCCTTCCACTATTTTCTTAACGGATTTGTAATTATTAATATATATCACTTTTACGTACATAAATGTCTGTGGTGTTGGACAGTGGTATTTTGGTTTATTTTCGTAGACTTTATTGACTTTGCGGTATTATTATTAATGCTTGCGGATTAAAAAGGTGACCAAGTTTTTTTTTTTTTTTTTAGTTTGTTTGTGAGTCCTTCTATTAGTGGTAGCTCTGATAAAATTTTTAAGTGGGGGTTTCCCACAAAAAAAAAAAAAAAAAATGAATTGGGAAGATGGATTTTTTTGTTGTTCTACGGAAATTATTACAACTTGTTGACTTGTAATGGTGTTTTTAGTGTTAATTGGTGGTGGGTCTGGATTAGGAGACTCACATTCAGCTTCGACAATGTATAAGGAAAAATAGCACGTATTGTTGTGCTCTGTAGTTATAATTCTGTAATGAGTTAGAATCAATGGTCTTCCATTCTCAAATTGTTTTTATATTTCTTTATATTGAGTTTATAACCTACATATTGCTTTAATGGTGGCTGTCAACCTAATTGGAGTTTTTATGCCCTGGAATACATATTGGTATCTGGAAGACTAGAACATGGGAGGCTCCAACCCTGATGAGAAAGTTCTTAGCTACAATGATGTTGTACTCCGGCGATCCGACCTGGACATCCTTAGTGGCCCGTATTTTCTGAATGATCGCATAATCGAGTTCTATTTCAGTTATCTTTCCTCGTGCTATCCATCCGAGGACGTCTTACTTGTTCCACCGTCGATATCTTTCTGGATAATGAGCTGCCCGGTGATTGAGAGCCTCAAAGACTTCGTGGAACCGCTCCATTTGCCTGATAGAAAGCTGGTGCTCTTTCCTACAAATGACAATGATGATGTGAGTCAAGCTGAAGGCGGGTCTCATTGGAGCTTACTTGCATATGAGAGGAACTCCAATATGTTTGTTCACCATGATAGCCACAGAGGGATGAACAAGAGGCACGCGAAACAACTTTACAATGCGGTTAAAGGATTTATGTCTGATACAGATTCCGTATCTGCTGCCAAATTTCTAGAATGCGCAGATTCGCCACAGCAAACGAATGGCTGTGATTGCGGCTTATACGTCACAGCCATTTCAAGAGTTATATGCCTTTGGCATGGTGATGGGGGAAACAAAGACAAGGGCGAAGGTGATTTGTGGCTCTCTGCCGTGAAGGAGCAGGTCACTCCATCTGTTGTTGCCGAAATGCGGAATGAGATATTGGGGCTGATCAGGGGTCTCATGGCTATGAAGTGAGGTTTTCCTTCTATGAAGCCGGAGTGAGTGAATAAGGAAGTCAAAATTGTGGGCTTAGAAATACCTATTAGACATATATAATAAATACAATATCGGAATTGTTTTGCAATTAGTGAAATACATGATGTGCATTTAGAATTCCTTCATTTGGTTGATTTTGTATCATTGTGGTCAATTAGAAAATCTTGCAGTAATTGAAAGAGGTGACCTTTTTTTTTTTCCTTCTTTTGCTGAATAATTGAAAGGTGTGAATTACTTTATGATCGTCGTTTACAGTTACAGGAATCTTTAAGGAATGAATAGTTTACCCTTTGTTTGGTAGGAGTAGGATACTAGTGTGGAACATAGAAAAGGGTGGACGGATTAGGGTGAACTGTGAAGAATTTATCGCTCTCTAAAACTTTGCATTTGCACTCTTTTTCATCTTCCTCGCCTTGATTTTTATGTTCTCCCTCGCTCAGTTATATTCCAATCTTCTATCAGTCCAACCAAAAGTAGCAGAAACGGCAATGAATCATGTGTCGTCACATTGCATTTCATTTCATATAATGCCGAGTAATGTTTTGATTTTGGCATTTCCAATAGCGTGCCAAATTAGTGTACTAATACTAAATTTTACTATTTAAGTAGAAAAATTACTCTCCACGATTATACTATTATTCATGTCTCGTGATAAAATTAACATATGCCATCTTGTTGTCAAATTTAACATAAAAATAACATATCTCAAATTTTGACATTTAATTGCTATTGATTGGTGTGACATTTTCATTTAGTCATTACAACGCTCGTTTTTAAATTATTTTTAAATTAAAAATTCACATTTATAAGTTCCAAACCTTATTAGTTATGAAAAAAGAAAAAATTTGTTTTCGATCTAATAGCACATTTATTGGGACACAAAATAGAATAATATATCGTTTCACATTTTTTATTGCCAAATACAGCATTATCATTTTCATTGGCATTTGTTTATTTGGTTGATGATCAAACAATCAATATGATATAATGCAATTCAATTTCACTTGATAAAAAAAATCAAGTGAAGCCTAGAATCATAAAGTATGAACCAGAGTTCTCGATACTCCAAGGCTTTTGTGTTCATAAGGATTGGTGTTTTAATCATCTTTTAGGATTTCTTTGTTTTGAAGACTAATATAAACGCAAAGGCATTCACATAATTTTCCCCCTTTTTCCATTTAGATAAAGCAATCGAACATATATTATTGCTCTAGTCCAGATCAGAATCAGAATCTTCCAAAAGAACGAATACAATATCGTAAATTACATAAAGAAGAGAAAATGCTTATGGTAGAAACAAAGAAACTTGAAACCTTATGTGCGTCAGTGCGTGTTTGGAATCGTTTTTTAAAACAGTTTTCATGTATTTTGAGAAGCAAAAAATGGAAACGAAACGACATTTGTTTAACAAACGAAAATGAAAATGAAAACAGTGAGAATGGTTTTTATGAAGAAATTAGAAAACAGTTTAAAGTTGTTTTCACTTTTCTGTTTTATTTTTTAATACTTATCAACAATATTATTATATATTAATTAATAAACACGATTTCACTTTTGTATTATATTTAAAACAATATCTTAAAAAATCAACAAAACACAATCTCATTTTTACTTTTTATTGAAAACGAAATCATTTTAAAATCAATTCCAAACGCACCCTAAATTTTTACAACCGTAGACTATTACTAATAGTCTACGGTTCTCTCTCTCATCTTGAGCTTTAAGAATCAACAAGGACCAAAAGTTGTGCATCTCCCATTCCAGATACTGCTCCATAAAGCCCTGTATGGAGAGAAAAATGCTATGAAAAAATGGAACTCAAACAAATTTGGCACCACAAAGTGGTCATTGCACCACAACTCAGCGAACAAATGAGCAGGATCAAGAATTTATCCTTTCTAAGTTCGCCACTAGGACGACTAGACTGTCTAGTTTCTAATACTTCCACCAGTCCAAACTCCATGTCTTGTTAAACTTATCCTCAAGCTCAAAAATCCAATGCAATTAAATTAATCGTATTCCATTATTATGTGACACTAGATTTAACTACATCTTTACTCAGTAGTTCATCTTTAGTCACTTCGTCTAAACTCTAAAGTAAACTGTGTCGTTAACAGAGATTAACATAGTGACTTCTGTCCAAGAAGTTGACATGCTTGTCAAAATTTGTCTTAGAGATTTGGATTTCTTACCACAAACTGGGGCCCATTCATGGCATGCTTGTGTCCACCGGATAACTTCCTAGCACCCGAATGAATGTAGCAAACTCCTGTCAATGAAATGAATCAATTCATATCAGTCATGGGATGTTTTTGTTCTCTGTATGGCTGTAGAGATTTATAGAAAACACACATTTAGATGCTTAAGCGCATTCTGTGCATTCTGGTCAGCCATTGATGCTTCAAAATCCACGTAGAAAAGATAGTCAAAGTATCTGAAAAAGAACACAAACACAATCAGAACGAGTTGAAAGTTAGACCGAGTATCTGATAAATACAAAACGAGGAAGTATGAACTTGGCCAAATTGTTTGGGGAACAAAGGCTCATTGGTAATAATGTAAATAGAAGCAACTGAGATTTTCAGTAAAATTACTTTGGACCATTGTTGTTATCATCACGTAATCGCAAGGGTTGCTTGCGCAAGGGACGACTCTCAATCTGGTTAAGAAACAATATAAAACTATTAAAACATAGCCACCATGCAAGGCAAGTACGGCTTTGAGGAGAAAGAAATATGTAAGAAATGCCTTCGTAAGATTGATTTGTCGCAGAGCAAAAACAGCAAGCGCCTTGAAAAGGATTCCAGGGCCTTCCTCTAGTGAGAAAACTATACTGGTCTGGCAACAACACGACACGTTCATTTGTTAGAAGAGAAAAAGAAAGACAAGAAATCTTTGTGATAAAGAGTTGTTCCTATAGACAATATCCTCGAGTATTGGGAGCAACAAAGTAAAGGCCACTAAAGTTCAAGTTCCAATTATTATTTAAATGGTCAAACCTTGAATAGCCTATCCGTGCCTGGAATTATGGGTTCTCTTGCCAGCATAAGAAATCGAGTAACATTATCACTATCATCCTGTAGAGAGGAGGTTCATGAATGACGGATAACGATGACAGAGAGGTCAACCCAAGTACAAAAAAAAAAACTCAAAACACTTTGCATACCGACCTGAATATCTTGGGCAAGTATATTCAAACCATATATCTTTCCAGCAACTGAGCTGGCAACTGCTCCTGTGTCTTTTAGCTCGTTTAAAGCGACATGCTACAATTTATGGCAACTATAGATCAGCTCCAACAACAACTAGCCAAAAAAGTTGCAATTTTTTTCAACTGACCAACAAACGTTATAGTATCTATACCATAAATCACAACCAAAGAGAAAACAGAATCGTTAATTCAAAGTCAAATTGACTACAATAGACGAGTAAAAACCCCAAGGTACAAAGACACAAGTGGTTCTGCTTAAAATAGAGACCAAAGGAAAAAAAAAATAAAAAAATAAAAACAAATTCTCGCAGCATAATCCTAGAAGAGCAAAAACATATCATGGGAAACAATTGGTTAAAAACTCCTAAGGGCCTACCTTTGCTGCACCAGCGGTATCATCCACGGCCTCTCTTACCAAACCCCATTTTGTTAATGTATGCTCACACTGAGCAAGAGCCTGCAATTTGAATAAGTTTTTCAAAAAAGAGCTCCATGACAGGATACGGAGAGAGAGGAGTACGAATAAAGGAGCAACACCAAATACACCTGTGGATGGCTTAGGACCCTTTTCAGGTCCTGAAGTTGAACACCATGATTGGCTAGTAAGCAATGTCGAACCGCAAATTTCACTTCCCCTACGATGTGCAAGTTGTGACGAAGCAAAAGGTCATAATTTCGGTGGATGCTTCCCCCTAATGAATTTTCAATCGGTAAAACTGCTCTGTCCACAAGCCACCTCTCAACAGCCTGCAGCAGAAAGAGATCGAAAACAATTCCGTTTCTCAATCAAATTTTGACGCTTCCAGAATTCTTGAATTTGTCAGGGAAACACGAATTCAATCCCCAAATTCCCTCTCGTATAAAAAGCAATCAAATAGAAAAAGAAAAAACAAAAATCTGGAAATAGGGACTTCATACTGAAAGACCAAAGCATCATCTTGTTTGCAACCAAATCCACCAACCAAATGCATTTTCACTTTGATAATCCCAAAAGACTTGATTTTTCCGATGAGAAATGTGAAACGAAACGAAAGAAGAGAAAAAAAAAAATGAAAAAGGAGCTTAAAAATTTATCTAAACATTAACATCAAAAGCTCTATTAGTTAACATATCAATGCAAGACGGCTTAGGAAGTCCCAAATTAAGCAATCTTACTAACCTAAAAGAAACTCTTTTTTCACTACTAATTTAAAATAACGAAAGAAAATGTTTTTGAAGTAATTACTTCAAAAGCGGAATCGAATTGATCGCAAGGCACGGCTTCACAATTTGGGTACGCCTTATCCGCAGCCGACTCACTATATGCTCCTCGAACTCCCTAAAATTCCAACATTCATCCATATAATTATATAAACAATCAATCAATTTCATTATATATATATATATAGACACAAGCAATCGAATTATAAAAGCAGGTTTAAATTAAAAACACAATACCTGGTAAGCGACGCGAAGGCGAGACCCATCGGCAAGCGAATGAGGGAGATGGCTCGAAGTTAAAGGCCCTGAAAAATCAACCAGAATCGAAGATAACGTAACAATGGCACTGAAAATGGGATTTTCAGAATTTGAAGCTAATGCGATGGCTTACTCGGAAGAGCATGCAAGTCCTTCGATACGCTGTCGTTCTGCAACTCGAGAGCTCGTCCGACGAGGTGGTTGCCATCACCTTTTCCGTCGCCATCCCCGCCGCGTGCGGAGACCAGAGCCAGGAGGCCATGGCGCCGTTTGGAGGAAGGTTTAGGGATCTTGACGGTGGTTATAGGCGAGTAATCGGACAGCGAGGATTTACGCCGGAGGCGCGCCGGGAGAGGTGGCGCGATGGCGGATCGCTCGGCGGAAGCCGCCGCCATCGCGCATGAAATGGAGAGAGATAGAGAGATTGGCGCGGCGGAGAGAGGTTGTTGAAATAGTGAAACTAAAAAAAAGAGTGCGTTAGTATTGTGAAAATGTCCCCACCGTTCGAGTGGGATGTTTCATAAATTTTTTTTTATAAATTTCTCCAATTTCGTTACTTAATTTTTCTTTAAGCTTTGTTCCCTGATTTTAAAAATTTGCTTCTTTTTCCTCTTAACTTCAAAATGTTGGTAAATTAGGGTTTTCAACTTTCTCTCTTTCTTCCCCACATGAATTAGAGAAAAAAGAGTGAATAACGATTGGAGTTCCAGGGCTACTTCCAAGCGCACCGCCGGGCTCCCGGTCTTGAAACTTGGTCCTCCAACTTGCCTCGTCGTGAGCTTGTAGTTGGTGGTGGCGGTGTATGGTGTGGTGGATCTAAACCGGTTTGAAGCTTGAAAGCCGAATGGATGAGCTTCGTTTTCAGGCGAATTTGTCATTTGGTGATTAAGATCTCTTGGCCGGCTATCTCCCTTAACGCACCCATTGGTGAGTTGCCCTTCACCGGAGGCTTCTAACGGCGGTGGTCGGAGGTTTTTTCTTTTTTTTTATGTAATTTTCATGTTTGTAATAAGGGCGGTAATCTCTCCACCCGACCCTCGTTTATTTTGCGGTTTGTTAATTTTTGGTGATCGGCTTAAGGTTGTTTGTATGTCTCCTGATAGGGCTGTCTTGGTCCGGCTAATTTTTTTTTTATTGTCGTGTAGATATCCCATCTCTGTGGAGTTTAGAAATCTATCCTTCCAACGCTCAAAAGCCTATTTCGATGGGAGGGGTTTCTTCAATTTAAATTCCATGTGTGCTCGTTGTTAGCGTGCCGAAGTGTTCTCCTGTTTTTGAGCCTCAAGCGTGCGTTCGTCCCTCTAATGGGTCACTAACATTGTACCAAAATGATTATTTATTAGTTGTTAATTAAATGTAATTTTCCTTTCAAAAAAATTGTTGGTAAATTTATGACTTTCATCCCATACATGGCAATTGGCAATAATTTAAAGAATTGAGCTTAATTTTGATTAAAATACTAATTATTAGAAATAAAATAATAATTATAACGAAAATTGCTCATTCGTCTTCTTCATTGCTTCCCTCCCGAGTTGCACTATGAACTTCAAAATGTTTGTAAATTTATGACTTTCGTCCCATATGTGGAAATTTTTTATTCACACACTATTTTTTACTCTTTATATCTCTTTTTAAATACATATTTTACGTAATTTTAAAATGATTAAATTTATTTTTTACATACCCCTATTATTTTAAAATTACCTAAACTATTTTCATACAACTATTAATTCTTCATCATTTTATTTTTCTTTTCACACTCACCATTTTATTTTAATTATTATTTTAATATTAAAATTTTTAAGTAAAATAAAAAAAATCACGGCAACAAAATCAGTATATTATTAAGGTATGATAAAAAAGACAAAATGGAAAAAGAATTAAAAAAAAAGTAAACGAGCTTAAGCATACAAAAGAACTAAAGAGAAAAAAATCAATTTAACTTTACAAGAAACGAAAAAGAAATAAAACAAAACGATTGACCTTTTCAAAAACGAAATGATTAGGAAAAAAAAACGTAAACACAAAGCAAAAAAAAAAAAGAGAGAGAGAAGGCAAATGAACAATCACCATACAACAAAAAGTAAGTGAACGTTTAGTTCATGAATTTAAGAATTATTTTTAATTTGCGTATATTTTTTATGAGAGAAAATACTGTAGCGAACCACGAACTATGATTCGAATCAGAATACGAATCCACCAACTAAATAACCTAAATAAAATTTAACATGCCTCTATGTAAATTTTTGGAATAGTTATTGAACCATAAAAATTAAAGTTTTATTATAGATTTCAAAATCACATTTGTTTGTATTTTGGGAATATGACATGTAGTTTGTGTGAAGAGAAAGAAAATAAAATGTCATTGGTTTATTTTTTATAATAAAATGTACTTATGTAATTAGGTCTATCATAATTGTCTCATTTTGTCATTTTATGTGAGCGTTTTTTTTAATAAGAAATTTAATTAAAAAGGGTGTATGAAAAATAATTGGGGTGTGTTGAGCTTAATTTGGACTAAAATACTAATTATTAGATATAAAATAATTATTATAACTCAAATTGCTCATTCATCTTCTTCATTGCTCCCTCACGAGTTGATTAGAGAATTTTTGAAGCGTTTATTCTTTTTTAATTCAATGTCAAAAGAAATTTATGGTATGTTTAATTTACACGTTTAAGTTAGTGATTTTAATTCATTAGTCGAAACTTTGTGAGAGAATAAATTTTTAAATTCAAATTTTTTATAAGATAAAAAATATTATAGCAAAATCAGAATCATAAGTTCAAATATATATACCAAATGGGGCTTAATCTTTTGCTATTGTCTTCATTAATAACTGAAGATCTTAATTTAAATTAGATTTTAACCTCTCAAATATATAGCGCGTCAACGTTTAAGTGGTAGAAGGGGTAAATTTACTAATGTTTTTGAAGTTTGGAGAGAGTGATGAAAGTGTGTTTAGTTGCAGAGAGAGATTGAGACACGGATATTGATGGAGGGAAAAAATTTATTTATTGTTTGGGGGGGGGGGGGGGGGGGGGGATAAGGCTCACCTTTTTTTTAGAAAAGCTAAAGTTAGAGTTATGTCGGCCCCGTTCATTTCACCGATTCGAGTTTAGAATTTGAGTTTTGCTAGAGTAAAAAGCTCTCAGAAATAATCACATCTAACTTTTGTGCTACAGTAAAAAAACTCTCAAATAAAGTCATATGTCAACTCAAATTAAAAACTTGAATCAACGAACTAAACGGACCTGTAGTGGTAAAGATGACAATTTTAAAGGTTATTGGCTATTGGGTTCGAATCAACGAACTTTTATTTGACAATGTTGTGACAATGATGACCATATTCTTTAAAAAAAACAAAAAAAAATAAAAAATGAAACAAAAAGGCGATGGTGAATAACTGTATATGAAGTGGGGCGTGAATTTATTTTTTTGTCAAATTCCATTTTTTTTTAAAGGAAAACTTGGCATTATTAATAACCACCTGCTAAATCAGCAAGAACTTAGGTCTCCTGACGAGATCTAAGTTCGTTGATCGGCGTCCCCTCCTTATAGTCGCGTCTCTCTCTCCTCCTTTCTTCTTCTTCTCTCTATCCTCTCTCTCTTTACTTTTCTCTATTATGCCAAACCAGGCCACCATGGGCACCATGGCAAGACTACCAAAACGAAAGGATCAGGATCTGTTGATGGTGAAAATTCGTCAACTTATAATCTAACTTTTTCGGGAACACTCGCGTAGTAATTCTCATAAATTAATTGACATTAAAAGCAAAAAATAAAGAAGACACGCAAGTTTATAGTGGTTCGGCAGAAACTTTTGCCTACATCCACTTATAGATGCACTAATTATCAGAATTATAGTATCTCTCTCAGTAGGAAAAATAATCCGTCTCAAATCAAATGAGGAGTCCAACCTTTTTTTTATAGGCTCTCCTAAGTGCAGAAAATCATATCCCTAATTTTCTGATGATGATCCCTTTATCTCTTTTAATTAAGAAAATTTTTAAATATACTTTTTAATTGAATATCTAAATTTGAGGAATTATCCTCGTTGATAGTTATCTGATCTCCCACTCGGTAGACAATCAGACAAAATAACATCTCACGACTTGAGAACAAGCAATATTTGCCAATAAGTGAGCTACACAATTATCTTCACGAAAAATACTCATTTAGTTTGCTGATTCAAATTTTTAATTCAAATTTTATTACAGTAAAAAGTTCGCGAATATCATAGCATCCCCGAACATCATCAATAATAGATGCTTCCGGGACTCTGGAGACAGGATGAACGAACAACATTAACCACATTAATAGCCTCAGACTCAATTACCCAATTATCAAAACCTCCTCTTTGGACTAATCGGACACTCTCGAACGACAAAACATTCAGCCACATGGGGAGAGAAGTTTCCTGCAATCCTGATTACAGCAGCACTCATCACACAGCCAACCTCATCCCTAAAATCCTTAAATTTACAAGGACACTAGTCTCAATGTCATGCTCATGCATAGTGATAGAAGGACAAAATTTGTTTGCATTTTAAAGTTCAGGGAATGTCTATTAAACTTTCTAAATTTGGGGCAATTTTTTTTAGTGACTAGAGTCCTAAGGACTTTACACAAAAAGGATTTAATTTTGTTGAGGTGTTTAAAAAAGAATTGCAATTGTAGATGATATTATTTGACTTTTTAATGTAGTATTCGCGGAAAATGACGTCAAACTGTTTGTTATGTAGCATAATAAATGTTTCACCACTCTGCTCAAACGTTAAATCAGCAGAATATCCTTAGTCTTTAAGCATCAAAGTACTTGTAGAATATTGGCCGAGTGATTATGAGAATGACACTTAATATTCTTCCCAACAGAAATAAATAAATGAAAATACTATATATTGGGAATTCAGATTTGACATCTTATATATCCCATGGTTAAAATAAAGGTTTTACACGTTCTATTTTAAGGTACAGAACGTGACCCGAGACACTTCTTAAAAATAAAATATAAAATAAAAGAGTAGAAGGGGACAATGTCTTTTAAAATGTATGTGTTTAGATTTTTATTTTTTATTATTAATTAATACATTTTTAGTTAAATAATTATAATTAAAAATAAAGGATATTTAGACCCATGAGTAAGAAATTTTATCAATAAATAATAATTATACGAGATATCACAAAACTAGCTTAAAAATGTGAGAAATTTACTAAATTTATCTTTAAAAGTGTGTGAATTTAAATTTTTATCATTTATTTTTAATTAATACTTTTTGATTAATATAATTTTAATTAAAATAATATTAATAAAAAATAAAAAATAAAAAATAAGATTCATGTAATTTAAAAAATATTTGTCTCATTTTCTCGGAGAATATTTGCAAAAGTGGTTCCATTGGTCCCAAGCAAGTTGCCCAGGCTCAAACCGAATTACAAAAGGGACCTTAATCCTGAAAGGTTCCCTCCGGCTGGCTCGGCGATCGGAGGCGGCGACGAGGAGATAAGCCCTCTGTTATCGCAGGTTGAAAGGCCCAAAATCAACATTTTCACGGTTTCTTATCCCCGGAGAAAACCTAGGGTGAGAATCATTGGTTGCTGATATGTACTTTTGCTTCTAATTTATTGTTCTTATTGATCACGGATCCCCC